TTAAATCAATCAATCCAATCCAATTTTTAAAATAATATGACTCTTTATTTATTTAGTATTGGTGGTTGATTTCTTTCTCTGCATCATAATATATTACATCGAGATATTTTGAAGACATTGATATGTAGGGGTGTCAATATGGGTTCTAACCCATGAGTCAACCCGGCTCACCATGGGTTCAAGTTAGGTTAAGTTCGATTTTTTTTATTTCTATCGATTATGGTCTAAAAATGAACTCGACTCACTTAACCCACGTGTTCGAGTCGGGTTATGGTGGGTTGGCCTGCAACCCACCAATAATTTTAAATTTTAAAAATAATTATAATATATACTAACCTTAATTAATAATTATATTTTAAATTTTAAAAACAATTATAATACTTCAGTAATCCTAAATGTTATCTTGTCTCATCCCTACCCTATATTGTCGTTGCCGCCACACGTCAAACCCTATCAGTTGTTCATCGCAACACTACGTTTGTCACTGCACTTTTGTCACTTGGCTTATCATTTGTTTATCGTACCACTACACCACCGTACCGCTTTCAAAGGTAAGAAGTCGTACCATAACCTAAATGATTGGATTGATGAATCTTTATTTGAAAATTGTAGCATCTATACATTATTTGTTGTTTGTTATTTATTTATACTAGGGATGGCAAAACGGGCTAGGCCCGGCGGGCCGGCCCGCCAACCCACCATAATATGGCGGGGCGGGTTGGTGTTTTCAGCCCATCAGCCTGCTTTGGCCCACCCTGCCAAGCCCGTCAACCCGTCGGGCCAACTCGCGGGACGGGCGGGCCACCCCGTGACCCGCCTAATTAATAAAAAAATAATTTTTTATTATAATAAAATTAATTATAAAGATAATATATAAAGTTAAAAATTTTAAAAAGAGAATTAAAAAAGTTTCATTCTCACAAAAAATATTCTCCTTCCTGAAACATAACCTTCTCTCTTGTTCTCCTTGTTTATCCTAAGCATTAATTATTTTTATCCTTATTACTTGAATTAAAGGGGTAAGAATTACTCAACCAAGAATAACATGAAGTTTTATCAAATAAAAAAGATATAGGTATTTAAATTTTTCAATATAAAAAATATAAATTTTATAAGTTTAACGTTATTTATTTATATATATATATATATATATTTGTTATTATTTATTATTATGTAAATTTTATTATTGTTCTAAATTATAATTTCTTAAAATAATGTATTGATTTATATTATTAAATTGAAATAATATATATATATATATATATATATTGAATTATTGACAAACAAATAATAATTTTATTATTAAATTTATTAAAAATATTTATTTTAAAAAAATTATTTTTTTCTAAATTATGGCGGGCCAGCCGCAACCCGCCTCTTGCGGGCGGGTCAAGGTCTACAGCCCGTCATGACTATATCGGGTTAGTCCGCCCGCCCCGCTTTTAGCGGGCCAAAGGCGGGCGGGCCAAAACGGGGCGGGCTGACCCGTTTTGTTATCCCTAATTTATACGTATATCTCTTTAATATATGAATTTTTGACTTCTTTCTTTCAAATTAATTTACAGTATGAAATCTGAAACAATACATCAAAATGTCAATGTGAATTGTGTTGGTGATGATTTTATTGTTAATGAAAAATCCAATGAGCCAATTTCAGTTAATAATGAAGATACTGATGTTGAGTAAGAAAGGAAGAAAACAAAAGTTTCTACATCCGAAGTTTGAAAATGTTTTTCAAAAATTGGTGTGAAAGATGGTAAAGAAAAGGAAAAATGTAAAGCATGTGGGCAAGAATATGTGATTGGTGGGTCAAAAATAGGTACTTCAACCTTACTGCATCATTTGAAAAAATGCAATATTAGCCCAAAATATCATGATATAGGTGCAATGATGATTGACAACATGGGAAAGTTAAGGAATAGGGAACTTGATCACAAACATGTTCGTGAGATAATGACAATGGCTATCATTAAACATAATTTGCCATTTAAATTTGTTAAATATAAATGGATAAGAGAATTTCTTTCATATTTAAATCCGGATGTAAAGCATGTGAGTAGGAATACTATAGTGTCTGATTTGTGGAAATTCCATCTTGAAATGAAGGAGAAATTGAAATATGAAATGCATAAATGTCATAATCGAATTTGTTTAACATCAGATTGTTAGACTGCTTGTACTCAAGAGGGATATATTTGTTTGACAACACATTTTGTTGATAATAATTGGAGATTGAATAGTAAGATTCTTGCTTTTTGTAAAATGGAACATCCACATACAGGTCATGATTTAGCAAATAAAGTGTTTGAATGTTTGACTGGATGGGGAATTGATAGAAAAATATTTTCTATCACTTTGGACAATGCTAGTGCTAATGATCGCATGCAACAAACTTTGGGTGACCAATTAAATTTACAAAATAGTTTATTATGTGATGGTGAATTTTTTCATGTGAGGTGTTGTGCTCATATCCTGAATCTTATAGTTCAAGAGGGTTTAAAAATGGTTGAAGTTGCTTTGCAAAAAATTAGAGAAAGCATTAAATATGTGAAAGGATCAGAGGCAAGAAAAATAGCATTTACAGAATGTGTTGTTCAAGTGAGAGGTATTGATACTAAGGTTAGCTTAAAGTTGGATGTACCTACTAGATGAAATTATACTTTTCTCATGCTTGAAAGTGGTCTTAAGTATCGTTGTGCTTTTGGAAGTTTTACTATATGTGATAGAAATTTTAAACATTGTCCATCAAATGATGAGTGGAAAAGAGCAGAAAGAATGTGTGAATTTTTGAGGTCATTTTATAAGATAACCAACTTGATTTCTGGTTCATGTTATCCAACCTCTAATGAATATTTCATGCAAGTACGAAAAATTGAGTGGTTGTCAAGGGAGACACTCAAAAGTGATGATCCATTGATGAAAGATATGGCAAAAAGGATGATGGAAAAGTTTGGCAAGTATTGTATTGAATATAGTGTCATTCTTTCAATTGCTATGATTCTTGACCCTAGGATGAAACTTGAAGCACTTAGATTTTATTACTCAAAGCTTGATTCTTCCACTTGTGATGAAAAACTTAATCATATAAAAGACAAGATGTACAAACTCTTTGAAGAATATGTGAGTGGAAGATCAAATTCATCAAATGCATCAAGTTCTCGACTTATTCTTTCAACAAAAGAATATTTCAATATAGAGGAAGATCAAGAGATTGATCCATATAATGTAAGTTTGTCATCTTTCCTATATGTTGTTATTATTTGTTATTATCTAATATTTATTAAATAATTGATTATGTTTTCATTTATTGTTATAGGAATATATCAATTATGTGAGTCAATGTTAATATTACTAGAAAATCTGAGTTGGATTTGGATTTGACTGAAACACCACTTGAGCCAAAATATTTTCCAAAGTTAGATGTTTTAAGCTATTGGAAGGATCATCAAGAACGTTATCCAAATCTTTGTAGATTAGCATGTGAGGTATTGAGCATTCCAATAATAATAGTTGCTAGTGAATCTGCATTTAGTATTGGGGGTCACGTGCTCAACAAATATCGGTCTAGTCTTCTTCCTAACAATCTTTAAGCACTTATTTTAACCCAAAATTGGTTAAATGACTTTGAAAATAATGGCAATTTACTTTTATTTATTTTTAATACTTTCTTATTATCATACTTTTTAATAATTTTCTAATATTTTATTTTTGATTTTGTAGATGAAGATAATGATGATGTTACAAAGGAAGAAGAAATTATTCTAGATTTTTCAGGACATGATTCTAATGTTGTTCATGGATAGGAAGAACAAATTTCACCAATTGTAAAATGAGTAGCTTGACATATCTCAAATTGTATTTCATAGTTATTTTTTAATTTTATTCATGTAGCAGATGATACTTTGGTTTTTTTTTTTTGAAGACTATAATGTTGTTTAAGAGTATTTGAATGATTTTGATGTTAAATTTATTTACTTAGTATCTTTATAATGTCATTGTGTTAATATCTTACAATGCAATTATATATATATATATATATATATATATACATATATATATATATATATATATATCATTTTAAAAAAATATGAGTTAGTGAGTTAACTCACCTAATCTACCAATCCGTGATGGATTGAGTCGGGTTGTAAAATTTACAGCTCGCAAAAAGTGAATTGGGTTGAACTTATCTATTTTCAGTTCAACCAGTGGTGAGATCAACCCGTGTGAGCCGGGTTAGCTCACTTTAACACCCCATGTATCCAAGATTAATTGTAAACTAATATAAAAAGTAATTAAATTGAACTTCAAATTATATATTTATATTTATTTAAATCAATTATTACAATTAATTATTTTCTTTAATCTATTCAAGATTAAGAGTGGACAAGACAAAACTTAATAAAAAATTAGAAGAAATAATTGATGATAAAATTAGTAGTATGTTTAACAATCATTCTAATTTTATCAATATCAATTACTCAATACTTTTATTTATTTTATATGCACATTGATGAAAAAAACACCAAATCTAAATTGTGATTTTTATTAAAATTATTTTTTTACTGCACAGTAAATAAACATAGATTATTATAAATTTGAAAGTTTATCTATAATTAAACCTATTTTTGGTTGTAAATAAAAATATGAGAAAAGAAAAAAAATATTTTAAAAAAATTATATAATTATAATTTGCAAAATAAAAATTTAAAATTTAAAAATTAAGTAATTATATTATTATAAAGTTATTTTATTATTTTCTCATCATATATAAATAAAAAATAAAATAATTGATATAGCATGAACAATATATCTTTCTTTTCATTAAATTTCATGTGGAGTTACTTTTTCCCTCTATATTTTGCCTTCTTATTTTCCCACCAAGAAGCCCAATATCTTTCTCGTGTTATGACTGGGCCGAGCCCATATGTAACCGGGGTTTCAATCTACACTTTTCCTGCTTCAATTCGATTCGAATTTTCCGGTTGCTGAGTTCCTCTTCAATGGATCGCCGGAATAGCAGCGAGAAAACGACGACGTCGCAAGGCTCAACCATGAAAGCGCCACCCTCAATCTCAGTTTCTGAGGCCTTTATAGTCAACGCGTTATGCGTCCTTGGCTTGGCCTTCGCCTTTTGGGTTGCCAACACTGTCTTCTCCATCGACCTCGTTTCTCATCCTTCTCTCACACTCTTCTTCATCTCGGTACCCTCAATTCATTTTTTTAACCTTTTCGTTTTCTTTTTCTTGGTTCCTTTCACAATTTCTCATTCTAAGGTGTTTAGATTGCAGAGCTTCCGATCGTGATCCTTCTATACAGTCGATATCGACAAAATCGCCAACAATGCACGGTAATTCGTGGTCCTTAGTTTATCAAAAACTGAGCAATTCTACGATATCTGGGGATATTCTAAGTTTTTGTGTTCTATTTTCGTGTGACTTCTATTCTTTGCAGTACCTGCGAGCTGTTGGAAGAGGTGTTCTAGGAGTGCCTATAGGTGAGTCCAAACTTCGTTTTTTTTTTCTTTTTTCTTTTTATACTTTATTTTACCATTCTAAGGACTAATGATGCAGTTTTGAACTTGAGGCTTAGTATAGTAAGTTGTCAAAGATGAGATGAAAATTTATCTGGGTAAAACACTATTTGGTCCCTGAAAATGAAACTCTATATCACAGTGTCTAAGAACACTCAATTTAGACTAAAAAATGTTAAATTCATCTCTAAATTTACTTCAGTCCTTACACATATGGTAATATTACCATGAGTCATAGCATTTTAAAAATCGACTGAAGTGATTAGCAGATTACGCTTTCAGGGACTCAAAAATGGCATTTTGGCCAATTTAATTTTACTAATAAGTCTGCTTCTTGAAAATTAAATTTATACATCTGATACTTCTTTGCAGGGGCACTATTAAATTTTTTAGGAGCTATTGCTTTGGGGGCGCCTGTTACATTTCAGTATGTGAAAGTAGTTATTTTAGAGTACAGTGTTTTTTCCTTCAGAACTTTCTACATGGAGGTCGTTGTTGATGAGATAAAGGATTAAGTGTAATTACTATTGTTCCTTTAAGCAAAACAAGTCGTGTTTTCTTTCTTTAATTGTTTTGTCTCTTCTATTATGTAATTCAATATGACTGTTCAGTTTTGAGTTTGAAGATCGCTACAAAACTGGAGCATGTCGTGACTTTGCAATTTTACTTGACACAGGTATCTTCCCAAGACTTTAAATTGGGCTCTCATGATGTCATTGTTCACAGTAAGTGACTATTTCATTTATGTTCTCTAGCATACAGTTACAGTTCAGTTACAGCTTGTTGGAGATTATTCTGCGGTTTTGACTGGTCTTGTTGTGATAAGCACCCAAACACTAGTGGAACCCAGTATTTAAAACTAGTCCTTAAGGAAGGAGAACCGAATACTCAAATATTCCACCAAACATCCCATACTACTCAATGTATGACTTAGACACTCCATACATCATATCCAAGTTCCTATCTAAGCTTCCCTTTTGTTGTTTTAAAAAAAATTGATCATTTATGAAATTTTTTAAAGTTGTTACTACAATGAGATATTTTAAATAAGATGGTTTCGGCTTGATGTCTGTTTGAGAACTTGTTTGCTCATAAGGCATTAGCTTAATCTTTTTTGAGGTAAAAAAAAAAAAAAGCCATCCATTTTCCAGATTCTACTTGTTTTCCAGATGCAATTATGAAAGGTTCCAGATTCTAGCACTTGTTCCTTTTCTTTCTCGTTCTCCTGATCATAGATCAACCCACCATAGAAAAGAATGATAGCTGGCCATATATTGAAGTGAAAGTCAGTAAGTTTTATCATTAACCATTAGACATGCAATTTCAATTCAGAGTTCAAACACCATGTTCAATTATTATGACCCACTAGAACAATATTTTCAAGTTGTGAAATTAGTTTTCAGAGGTTTCTTATGAGTTCTCTTCCTTTTCCCTGAATGAATTACAAATTTACAACTTTTGTCGTATAGACATTTTTTAAACTGTGGTCCCATGTTTATGTATACATTTAATAATTCACATCTGATGCTATTGCAGACAGTTCCAGCATCATGTGTTCTTGGTTCATCGTGGGCTGACTGGAGACGTATATTTGCTCAAACAAAGTAGGATTTTTGTTGCTAATAATATCTTTTATTGAGATTTTGAAGAATATAGTGAATGCTTATGTTGAACTACTTTTTTGATAGTGCTGTCCATTTATTTTGGTCCTTCAATTTTTAATTACATTATTGTTATTCTTAAAATATTTTTAGGCCTAATGGATCTATAGAGTACCTGATTTGTTTACCAGCTCATGGAGCAGTTATTGGGGCATGGTTTGGGGCTTGGCCGATGCCACTTGACTGGGAGAGGCCATGGCAGGTAATTCATTCCCTTTTCTAATCCTTTGTCTTTGAATTCATTGACCATTTTGTCGAGCAAATAGGAAGACTAGTTTACCATATTATTTCATTAGCATTTTATCACTTCTGTTTTATTTGTGTTTAATCAGTACACATTTTTGAATAATGTATATTCATGAATATCTCCCCGTCTCTTGCTTCTTCTCAATCCATAACAATATGTTCGGTAAAATCTGTTTGATTTTCTCCTTTCATAGTTAGCTTTTGAAGGTGAGTTCTCTAAGTGCTTAAGTTCTTATCATTTAATCTTTTTAAAGGATACAATGATTATTCACTAAACCAAAAACCTATAAGATAATTATAGTGGTATAAATTGATTTAATATTTATATAATTGATTTCGAATGAAGTAGTTAATTTGGTTTGTTGTTTCGTTGCATCAAGGTCATGTATTTCATCTTTATTTGTAGGAATGGCCCATTTCTGTGAGCTATGGAACCATAGCCGGGTACCTGGTGGCAATGGTTGCATCATTGGGCTTTGTTCTTAATTGTTGTAGGTCACAAAATATCAAAAGAGAATAAGTGGCGAGGATCTGAATATAGTAATTGGTAAGTTACTTTACTCACAACCAATTTTTATTTTGTTTTACTTTGTTGAAATCATACAAAAAAGGTAGAAAAGAAGGGAAAAAAAAAATGAGACTGTTAATAATATTTTGATAATATGTTTGATATCATATGGTGTATTGATACTTCAAGCCTTAACATCCGATAAGTATCTTATGTCAACACTCAATGGATATTTCATCTACACATATCTGTGAAATATCTCTTATGCATAACCTATTTCATGAAATCTTACTGTGTTTTACTTTTTATTTTGCTGCCAGTGAGTGATATATAGAACCATAATCTCTTGATGACCTAGATACGAAGCTGTCTTCTTTAGGATGAAATGAGATCCATTCTATATCTCTTTGTAGGCGTTGGGTAAGGATTTATGATGGCAAAGGGTAACTTGGTGCCGATATAGCTCCACGCACTCTCTCCGTGACATGGTCCAGGGAGGGGTTGAACCCGTCATGGATCTATTGTAGACTGTACTATGCTCTATTTCTTTCTCAAATAAGTGACCTCCTAGACACACAGCACCGACTCTGAACTGTTGTGCCAAATAGTGGTGTTTGAAAATTTTTTTGGAGTCGAAATAGTTGAGTTTATTATATATAGAAGTTAAATGGAATATTTTTATTAATATTAGTCTTTCATGAGTGATTTAAAGCTTTAAATGATATTATCTGAGAATAAATTTTCTTAATCAATTGTATTTATTATATTGAAATATATATTTTCTACTTTATTAACAACACCTCACAACTTATATATATACCCTTACTTTCTCATTATAAGAATATGAAGGATTTATTTTTTTATTTTTGCAGTAAAATTGTATGACCCTAAATTTATATGAAAACATGAAGAAGAATACAGTATTAACCTAATGGTTTTTTTAACTAATTTAAGAAAACTGTCATTTTGCCAAAAAAGTTTATAGAAAATTCTTGTAGAAAAGATTCTCTAAAAAATAACAAAATTCATATTTTTGTTACTAAACATTATGTTTTTATTTTAAATATATCGAAGATTGAAAAACATAACCTTAAATAATTTATGGCAAATATTTCTATCACTAATATTTTTATTAATAAATTTATGTATTAAGTATCATAGCCAGGTTAACATACTATTTCCATCAATCATATGTTCTAATGGTAATAGCTGTTATGTTAAATGAAATAGTGTTTAAAACTTTTGACCGTTAATATTTTTGTCAGTAGCCATTTGTTTTTAATGTATTAGTGGTTGAAATTTTGATTTTTAAATCTTAAATCTTAAAATTTTATGATAAAAAATAATGTTTATATATATATTAAATGGAACAGTGATTGAAATATTTTTAACAAATAATTTTGTAATTAAACATTTTGTTTTCAACATATTAAAGACTAAAAATTTTGATCACTAAAATATTTAATTTGCGACTGATACTTTTATCACTAATAATTTATTTTTCAACATATTAAGGATTAAAAAATTTGGTAAAAGAAATTGTAACTATATTTTCATCACTAGTCATATTATTTAAACATATTAGAAATTAAAAATTATGGTCATTAAAAATTAGAGACAAATTTTTATATTTCTATTATATAGGTTTTAAATAGAACAATGATTAAAAGTTTGGGTTTAATATTTCTTCAATGGAAATTTTGTTTTCAACACATTAGAGATTGAAAAAAATATGATCACTGAAAACTATGGACAAATATTTTTGTTGCTAATAATTTTTAAATGAAATAATGACTAAAATTGTATGCCGCTAAAAGTTTGTGAATAATATTTCCGTTGCCATAAAGTTTTCAACACATTACAAACTAAAAAGTTTAACTACCAATATATTCATCACTAATGTTTTTGTTTTAAATGAAGTAATGATTAAAATTTGGTCACTAAAAATTTGCGACTAATATTTTCATTACTAATAATCTAGTTCTCAATAGAGATTAAAACTCTTAGTCATTAAAAAATTATGACTAATATTTCCAACACTAATCATATTAATTTCTAACATATTAGATATTGAAAGTTTTGGTCGCTAGAAATTACCAATAAATATTTTTGATGCTCATATTTTATTTTGAATGATGATTAAAATTTTTTTCCAGATTCTGGGATGGGTATTTCCATTAATAACCACTATTTTTCAATATATTAGTAATTGACGTCGTCAAATTTTAGTGATTACTATTTTCATTGTTAATGTTTTTTTTTAAATGGATTAGAGATTGAAATATTTGGTCTAAAAAATTTGGAACCAATAATTCCATCACTAAATATTTTGTTTCAACATTTTATATATTAAAATTTTGGTCGCTAAAATTTGTAACAATATTTCACTTGCTAATATTTTTGTTTAAATATATTGGTGACAACAAATTTGGTTAATAAAAATATAATTTTTAATATATTATAAATTGAAAATTTTGGCAAAAAATAAAATAAAATTGTGACCAATATTTCCTTCACTTGTTCTATTGTTTTCAACATATTAGAGTTCAAAGTTATTTTAGTTTGAAATTAGTAAAAAATATTTATGTTTCTATAATTTTTAATTTAAATGAAATAGTGGTTAATAGTATTGACCACTAAAAGATTTGTCATTAATATTTTTATCGCTAAAAGTTTTCTTTTCAAAATACTAGAGACTATAGATTTTGATGGTTAAAAATTAGAGACAACATATTTTTTTCCTAATATTTAATTTTGTTTTTAATGAATTAGTAACTAAAAGATATGTCTGGTAAATAATTTGTGAATGAAAATATTGGGTGATAAAATTTAGCAACAAATATTTCTGTTGGTAATAACTTTGTTTAAAATGGATTAATGACTGAAAATATTTGGTGTCAAAAAAATTGTAAATAATATTTCTATCACTAAACATTTTGTTTTAACTTAATTAATATGGAAATTTTGATAACTAAGAATTCACAACCAAAATTTTAAATGTTTTTGTTTTAAATGAATTATGAATGAAATTTTTGTAGCTAAAATATTTGCAACCAATTATTTCATCACTAATAATTTGATCGTGAAAAATTTTGTGTCCCATATTTCTATCACTAATCATATTGTTTTCAATATATTAGAGATTAAAAGTTATAATCACTGTTATCTACGTTTTAAATTAAATAATGACTAAAAGTTTTTCATAAAAATTTACAACCAATATTTATGTTACTAAATATTTTGTTTTCCAAACATTAGAGATTTGGAATATTAATCACTAAAATTTAGCGACCAATATTAATGTTTTTGTTTTAAATGCATTTGTTACTCAAAAGTTCGGTGTTAAAATGTTTGTAGTTAATACTAATAATTTATGATCAATAGTTTAGATATTTATAATTTTGGTCATTAAAAATTTGTAAATGATATTTTCATCACAATCACATTATTTTTAATAGATCAGAGATTGAATTTTCCGGTAATTGAAAATTTGCAACCTTGTTAATGATAGGTTACTAAATTTTGATAACCCAGTATTTTTTTGTCTAAAAACTTGGAAACTAATATTTCCATTTCCAAATATTTTGTTTTTCACATATTAAGGACTGGAAATTTTGGTCGTTAAAAATTAGCAAAAAAAAAACTATTGCTAATAATTTAAATTTTAATGATTTAATGAACAAAATTGTCACTAGAAAATTTGTGAACAATACTTTCATTACTATAATTTAGTTTTCAATATATTAGAGATTTAAAATTTTGGTTGCTAAAAAAATTATAACTACATTTTTTGTCTAAATTATGTTCAACATATTTGAGATTGAAAGTCTTGGTTGCTAAAAGTTAGCCACAAGTTATGTTTCTATTAGGTTTTAAATAAAATAGTGACTAATGTTAGATTGCTAAAAAGTTTTCAACCTATAGTTATGTTACTCAAAATTTTGTTTTAGGATATAAGAGACTAAAAATTTTGATTTCTAAAAATTAGCGACATTGCAGTTAATATTTTTTTTAAAATAAAATAGTGATTAAAAGTTTTAGAGACTAAGAAATTTATGACAAATATTTCTGTCACTAAACTTTTTGTTTTCAACACTTCCATGTGAATTGGTATGAGAAAAATTAAGATCAATATTTCAATCACTAATGCTTTTGTATTACATGAATTAATGAGAAAAAGTTTGATTGCTAAAAAAATTGGTGATATATTTTCTGACACTAATAATTTAGTTTTTAATAGTTCTATCACTAAACATAGATAGAATATTTAGGTAGCTACAAATTTTCGATAAATATTAAATATTCTATCAAAAAATTATGGATAAATATTTACATTGCTAATATTTTTATTTAAAATAAAATAATAGTCATAAAGATGTTGGGACAAATATTTTCATCTTTAATATATTTTTGTTTTTAAAATATTAGTGATTGGAAATTGTTGCTATAAATTATTTTCATTATTAATGTTTTTTTACTAAAATATTGATGTCTATTGAATTTTCAACCAATTATTCTGTCACTAAATATTTTGTATTCAACATATTAAAAATTGAAAATTTTGGCCACTAAAAATTAGCAACCAATATTCTTCACTAAATGAATTAGTGATAAATAATTTGGTCTCTAAAATCTTTGACCAATACTTTCATCTATAATAATTTAGCTTTTTAATATATTAGATACTAAAAGTTTTTGTTGTTAAAATATTTGGAATCAATCACTAATCTTATTATTTTTCAACTTATTTGAGATTAAAAAAAATGTTAAATATTTAGGTTTTAAATGAAGTAATGACTAAGGATTTGAGTGTTAAAATAATTGTGACTAATTTTTTAATATTTGAAAACAATAAGGGGGAGATTGATGGAAATGTCCCTACATTCCTAAGAGATGATTTTGATGATGATTCAAGTCAACTACATTCAGTCAATACCATTCAAGATGAATTAAGGACAAGTTGAATTTAAGATGTTGGTGACAATGTGAAACATTTCCCTACATGCCCAATATATGTTTTTGATAAAGATGATGATTCAAGCAAGCCCAAGATGATTCTTGAAGACTAGATAGAGTCTTAGAATACTGGATATGGAGGTACAAGTTGATGAAGTAATATTATGCATAAACCTCTAGAGCACAAGTGTGATAAAATTCATAACATGATATTTTTCACTGTCATAATCAATTATAATGCATCAGAAAATGGAAAAATGATTTTCTCTGTCATAATTGATTATACTGGTAACATAATCAATTATGACAATTCAAATTTGAAAAATATATCTGTTTTGAAGAATAAATATTTTTGAATATATCCTGATTTTTATTCACGAAAATATTAATGTCTAACGACAATTTTCTGATACTATTTTTCTATTTAATTAAGTTTTGATGAGAAATCAAAAACACACAATTACATAATTCGAAAATACAATTTACATTCAATCAATTTTGAGAAAAGAATTATGAGCAAGGCAACAAAGATATTTTACACCTTCTGAGAAAACTCTCTTCTCTACTGTCTTCTGTGCTCTTATTGTTAATCACACTTGCTCTTGGATATTGACATTCTACAGGCTTCTACAATTTGTTGTCTCCATTATCCAGGTGTGACTGTTCTTATTTTTATTACCTTCATCCTTTGTGTATTGGTGGCAAAAGAGATACTTTTCATCCCTAGTGTGATTCTAGGGAGGTGTTCATCCTTAGTGAGATTCTAAGGAGATGTTTTCATCCTTTGATTTGTTTAAAGGAGGTTTTCATCCCTAGTGTGATTCTAGGGAGGTGTTCATCCTTAGTGGGATTCTAAGGAAGTGTTTTTCATCCTTTGATTTGTTCAAAGGAGGTGTTCATCCCTAGTGGGATTCTAGGGAAGTGTTCATCCTTAGTGAGTTTCTAAGGAGGTGATTATCTTTTTAATTAGTTTACTTTTTACTGGTTCTTCTGCTGAGTTAATTGTAATTTGTAAACTAAATTTGAAAGATAGTGAATTGGGAGTCACTCTTGTATTAAGAGTTGACTGGGAACTGGATGTAGGGTTGTCTATACCCGAACCAGTATAAATCTTTGTGTGCTCTTCTCTTTCCCTTATTTATTTCTCTTTTCCTGATTATATTATCGCTTCCGTTTTATCTGTGTTTAAACAAATTATTGACTCACAAATAAATTTTTAATTTGACATCTATTTTAATTTGTGCATTTATTCACCCCTCTCTAGATGTCATTTGTCTAACAACATTAAGTCTTGAAAACATTGATCCGTAAAACTTAGCGAAAAATATTTCTTTTACTAAAATATTAGTTTTGATCGCTAATAAATTTGTAACGAATGATGAACTTTTTATTTTCAACTTATTAGTGACTAGAAATGTTGTCACTAAAATTTGGTGACCAATATTTCTATCACAAATATTTTTGTTTTAAATTGATTAGTGATTGAAATATCTCAAAGGCGTAGTACATGTGTGGGCTCCTTCTATCTTTCGGATCTCCCAAAATTGTTCCTTGGTGCGCAAGATCGCTTGACACTTCCAATTGCAATGACTCTCAACACACTGCACTCTTAATCTGGTAGTGTTAGAATGTATGACTTTGTAGGTACAATGATTCATGATGTGAAACCTGTTAAGTGCGTCAACTACTTCTTCCTTGTTTTGGAACCACATTCCCTTAAATAATGATCCAGGTGGATGTTCCACTAATTCATGGTCAAATGCATCACCAAACTCACTATTTTGTTCATAAGAAAGTGTGGTATAGGTTTCAAAATGTTGGGGAGGGATGTATGGATGGGGTAAATGATGTTGAGATTGTTGTTGTATGGGAGCAACCTCTAAGTTGTCATCATCCTCATGTGCATGTTGTGTGAGGATGTCATCCTTATCATCACTAAAAGATTCTAAAGATGCTGAAGGAAATCCTAAAATCTCATTTTCGGGTAAAAAAGAAGGTAATGGTGTTGTGATATCATTGGTGAGGGAGGGAAAAATATTTGATGTAAATGGACCAGTTAGAAGCTGGTTGTATGATTGTACATCAGCTTCCCATTGCCTTAAATAGGTGTTGTTCAAATCAAATGTTTGTGTTATGGGTTGTATTTGTGAGTGATGGTGTTGATCTTGGTATTGGTTAGGAACAAAAAGATTACCTCTATGGTTGGTTGTACATATCTCAGTTCCGGCCAATGTTGGATTTGCGTTTTGTATGTCGATTAGCCCTTGTAAATCTTTGTCATCTTGAAGCGTAGTTGCAGTGTAATACGCATCTGAGCCATAAACTCGGATGGGGTATCTGTAGGTGATGGTTGAAAGTTGTTCATGGGGAGATCGACCACATTTTTGTAGAACCATTTGTTTGAAATGCTCAAATGTCATTCCTTTATGAATACGCATCATGATAACATTGTTACTACGAAATAACACCCCCGTTTGACGGCAAGTCACAATGTCACCATCATAAAAAATAACTACTCGAATGAAAGAATCCATATGAAAGAAAAAATAATAAAAATGATGAAAGTATAGAAAACTAGAGAGGAGATAAGGGAAGTCTGAACTTATGAGGAATTGATGTGGGAAATGATGGTAAGGTATGAGTAATTGGTGTGAGAAGTGATGATAAAGTAGACTTTATATAGTAATGAGTGGCATGAGAGTTAGGTAGTCATGTGAGTGGTAGGAGAGTTTAGGTAGATATGTGAGTGACATGAGAGTTAGATAGTCATGTGAGTGGTAGGAGAGTTTAGGTAGACATGTGAGTGATATAAGAGTTAGGTGATCATGCGAGGTAAGTAAGTTTAAATAGGCATGTGAGTGATATGAGAGTTAGATAGTCATGTGAGTGGTAGAGAGTTTAGGTAGGCATGTGAGTGACAAAAGAGTTAGGTGGTCACGTGAATGGTAAGTAAATTTAGATATACAAATATATATATTTATTAAATATCTTATTATATATATATATATATATATATATATTATATAAATTCATATTTATTAAATTTATTTAAATATTAAATCTATAATATTGTAATTTATTTGTATTTTTCTAATTTTTTACATCAAAATTATTATTAAATAAATGTTATTCATACAATATCTTATATAAATTTATTTTTTATTTATTATTCCTATAAATTATTATTTTTATCAATTTTTTTCTTCAACTAATTTATATTAAATAAAATTTAAATATTATATATATATATTAAATATATTTGTATTTACTATATTTATAAAAATATATTAAATATATAATTATATAAATATATTTTTATGATAGGTAAAAAGAATATTTATATTAATTTGATATAATTATATAAATAAATATTTAAATATTATATATATTAAATATATTTGTATTTATTATATTTATAAAAATATATTAATAATATAATTATATAAATAATATTTTTTAATATATATATATATATATATATATATTTAATGAATTTAAAACAAAATTTTTAACAATTACTATTTTTTATTTAAAATGTTTAACTTTTTGAAAAACCGTGTTACTCATGTAAATAATATCTACAATGTGCTATATGTGAAATTTTAGATTAAAATAATGCTACACGCCAAAAAAAATCTCCTTTTCAATTATAACATAACTGATGAAAACGACCTCTGAACACCTTTTATCAATACTCCTTAAATGCAGTGTCTTTGAAAAATGTATTGTATTGATCTTCTTATAAGATTTTCAAAATCTTTATATCTTTAACCACGTTGACTTATTTTTGCACTAATCTTCATATTTTTCATCCTCACATATTTTCACTGAAGATATTTGCCATTCATTTCAATAATACATTATCGTTCTTCGAATAATCATTCCCTTTTATCAGAACAAGTTCAAACTTAATACGCATAAAGTCATTTTTTATGACTTTCACAGACTATTTGTAGTGTTCATCTTTCATCCATTGTTGATGTGGAAAAAGAATAAAGTAAATGATTTCTTGTGAAGTATAAATGTGGATTTAGAAAAGTTACTAGAAAGAAGATAATATTTTTCGGCACAAAAGCATCCACATCAGAGCTGAGATGGAGGTTTATTTTTGTGCCTTGGAGACCCTTTGAAATTTATTGTGATAACTACATTCAGTTTGTAGGATAAAACTGGTGTAACTTTATTACAAGGTAGATAGCTCTATATTTTTTATTCACTTACAAATAGAGGAATCTTCATCTGCAGACTGCATTCCAATACTACTGCCCTATGCATTAAAAGCTGCGAAGATTAAGAGAATTTTCCCATTAGAATTCCTCATAAAAAATCAGTCTGACATACCATAATAAACCAGTTGTAAAAAGTTTAAACATGGATGTGTTTTTTGTGAGCTCAATTTCCATGTAAAACTTACATTTGAACCTTTTTCCATGAATCAGATGTAAAATGATAGGTTCACATAGATTGGTTAAGGGAAGCAATGTTCTTACCTGCTTCAGAAAGAGCCCAGTTGCTGTCTTGTCCAATATGCCAAGCAAAATAGCCAAGTAATCCTCTCTCTCTGGCATCAACAACCTTGGTAGAGGTACTCTCAGTGTCGTCATAGCCAAACCAATCCGTCCCTTTGAAGCAGTAGTTAGTAACAAAGGAAGAATCAAACACAACCTCCGCACCAGCACTAACGATATCCTTGTACGCCACTGCCCCAAGTCCCTGAGTAGCAGGTGCAAACAGACCATGGTTATTAGGATCTGCCAATTGCCACTTGTAACCGTAGAAGGGTAAACCCACATTTAGTTTGCTCGCAGGTACCCCTAACCCAATCCATGTTGTGATCCCTTGATCTACACTGAATTGACCTTGCGGGTTATTCCAAGGAGCAGGTGGCTGTGTCGATGTTGGGTACCCATCTGAGGTGAAGAGGTCATAGGCCATGACGTTGACAAAGTCCAAGTTTTCTGTAATGTCCGTTCCTGGGTAGTAGTCCAATGATGAGATCTGGTCAGAGCCAGCCACAGCAGCAGATAAGATCAGTGCTGTGTTGCCTGAAGTGGTGGACTCTTGGTCCACAGCTGCTCTCCACTCCCTGAGGAGTAAGGCCAAGTTGGACCTGTCTGTGTCTGAAGATGGGTACTCCCAATCAAGGTCAAGTCCATCGAAGTTGTTTTCTCTAGCTTGTTGGATTGAAGAATCTATGAAGGATTTGCGGCTGTCGGCTTGGCTGGCCATGTTGGCAAATTCTGCTGCCAAAGTGGCACCGCCACCACCACCACCTATGGACAAAAGGGTTGTCACTGAAGGATTGTTCGCCCGGACGGTTTGAGTGAAGGTTGAGAACTGAGCTGCGTTTGTAGAAGAAATGGTGACTTGGTTGGTATTGGGGTCAAGGTCGGCAAAGGCACAGAAAAGGTGAGTGAAATAAGAGGCGTTTATGTCAGAAACTGCAAGTCCACTTTCAGAGTACCAATACCCTCCTTTGATGTCAGCTTCTGAAGGAGAGAAGAGGAGTTGAAGGACCATAATTAGGAGAGTGGAAAACAGAATCGAAACCTTGAAGTTTGCCATTTTCTTTCTGCTTCTTCTGATTCACATGTTTTATTTTATAGACAAAAAAATATTAGAGAATGAATAAAACAAAACTTGACATGAAGAACAAGTTACATATAATTAATTAAAGCATGTACTTTTTCTGAAGTTCGATGGAACATGAAGTGCCACATCGCCACCTAGTAAACACTTACCTAGGAAACAAACAAACTAATGTTACGCCATCATACGACCATTCTAACAATCGTAATAGCCATGAATAACAATTGCCTAACAGTTGGAAAATGCGCCATGGTTTGACCTCCAATGAATCCTTCTCATGTCATCCACATTCATTCAGGATTTGTTTGGTTGGAGTGATATGAGAGAGTGGAAAAGGAGGGATTTGAAGAGAAATGAAGATGATTGAAAAGTGAAAGGAAAGTTTATGGAAAATTGTGAATGATTTGATTGATATGAGATATAAAAATTATAATTTTATGTTGATTATTTAAGAAAATTACCATTTTACCCTTTATATAAAATAAGGTTCAAATGATTATAAATATAAATTTTTAATTAATTATCTATATTTTAACATTGATTATATATTTAAAAGAAAAAACAAAATTAAAAGTGTTTGTAATTGGAAACAAATTTAAAAAATTAACTTTTTTTAGATAGTTATTAAAAATTATATAAATAAACAATTACAAAATTATGTACATTGCATATCCATATTCAAATAATGTTGATATATTAAATAAATTATTTAGCTAATAATTATAAAATATAAAATAATAATTAATATTGATTGATAATAACAAATAATTATGAAAACTAATAATATAATTGTACATTATTATTTAAAACAAATATAAAATATAGTGAAAATAGAATAATAATTAAATGAAACATTACTAAAATTATAAACCTATGCACACTAATGCTCTTCAAACAAATAATTATAATGTTATTCATCTTTTGCGATCAAGTCCTCCAGGTTCAGATCATTCAATCACTTCCACTCAAGAACATGAACAATCTGGGAGAGGCGAAGATGTCCCATATATCTGAGTCCGAATGTTGAAATGTTGATGATCGTCTCATCACATTAACTTGAGATAAAATAACTACAATATAATTTTCTACTTTAAGAATTAATAATATAATTAAACTCAAAATTGAGAATACTCTTATACATTTTGAACTCTTTTGGATAAATTTTGTTTCCCTAATTTTTGATAAAGTTAATTTTAATATTTAAAATTATTTAACATTTTGAATTCTGAAAGGTTTTCTCTAATAGCAAATTAAAAAACATAATATTCAAAAAAATATTTTAAGATTCGAGTCTCGGGTTGCATTTCGCTCGAGCGACTATATCTCGCTCGAGCGAAAAACGATCCTGATCGATCATAATTTGAAATGATCGATCATAATTGAAGGATATAATAGCGGTTCCTCTGTAACCGCTATCTAAAGTGTATATTAGATAGCGGTTCCAGTGGAACCGCTATCATATACAACCATAATTTAATTTCTTCAGTCTCGGGTTGTGTTTCGCTTGAGCGACTATTTGTCGCTCGAGCGAAATATGACTCTGATCGATTAGATTTAAAAAATGATCGATCATAATTGGAGGATATAATAGCGGTTCCTCTTTAACCGCTATCTAAAGTGTATATTAGATAGCGGTTCCAGTGGAACCGCTATCATATACAACCATATTTTAATTTCTTCAGTCTCGGGTTGTGTTTCGCTTGAGCGACTATTTGTCGCTCGAGCGAAATATGATTCTGATCGATTAGATTTAAAAAATGATCGATTATAATTGGAGGATATAATAGCGATTCCTCTTTAACCGCTATTTAAAGTGATATATAATAGCGGTTAAGATTTAACCGCTATTAGAAGCGATATATAATAGCGGTTATGTTTTAACCGCTATTAGAAGTGATATATAATAGCGGTTAAGTTTTAACCGCTATTACAAGTGCTATTATAATGGAAGAGGGTAAGTTGGACATTTAGCAGACTTTCGTCTCTTTTCTTCACTTTTCTTCACAGATTAGCGAAGAAAGTCTCTCTCTTCTCTCCCCCTTTTCCTCGCCTGCATTTCTTTGCAAATCTGTCTTCGTCAACAGTATTTCGTCGCAAATCAGTTCAAACAAACAGGTGCTTAATGTTAAGTAACGATGTACTTATCCATTATTCATTCTGGTTTGGTTACTTGATAATATTATATATCTACCTAAAATTAACCATTTACTTTATTTCAACGTGCACGCCATTGGAGTGGAAATTTCAAACGCTTCAATCTCAGATATCATTAAAATAATAACAATAATTTCATCTACTGATTCGTTCTAAGACTCAATTTTCCATTTGGAACAAGGTAAAAAATAAAAAATAAAACAAATGAAGAAAAAGTAAAAAACAAAATAGTAAAAATAAAAGTTATTTGGTTGAGAAAGAAAAAAAAAACAGTAATTTGATTCAACAGAAGTAAAAAGTAAGATCTAAATTAAATATTCAGATTATTTTATTTTAAAAACAACTATAGACTTTTATTTATATCATGATATATTATTATATTTCTAATAATATTGTTTTATTATTAATTTAATTTTATAATTTAATTCTCCTTCTTCTTTAAGAGTTTATAAAAAATGAAACATAGTCCGGAAGTGGGCTTGGCTCCTTAACATTTCCTAATTACTAATTTTTTTTATTTAAATAAATTATTTTCATATTAATTTTTTATTAAATAAACTATAATTTTGGAGAAAATGTTATTTAAGTATTACATTTTATTTTTATTTTTATTTCCCTTTCTCTTGTAAACAGATATTTTATTTCCGTGTAGGTTTTGTTATCTAGAAATCATTTTTTTTCTTTTTAGACAAAATGTTTAATTAAATAGTATACAACATTTTTAGTCACTATAAAATTAGTTAGTTTTGATTTTTTTTCCCTAAAAAAAGTTTCATCTCTATAAATTTTGAAATAACTTTTATAGTGGTTATAAATGTGTGAATCTTAGTTTTAATTCCTATTGTTTTTTATTTTAATCTCTGAAAAAATTCACTAATATTACATTTTACGATGGATAGGTAATATTCATTTTATGAATAATAAGAGTTTTTGTTTTTATGTTTCATGTTAATATTATATCATCATAAGAATATGTATATATCACACCTAATACCATTTGATCTCTTGTATAAGACATAAGTGATTAATTAGTGGTATATAATAAAAAAAAAGGTAAAAGTAGTAAGATTCAATTGTAGAGGATAAAATATAATTATAAAAACTAAAATCAAAATTCCTAAAATTTTATTTTATATTAAATTTTCAACACACATAAGCTAAAAATGATTACATTTATGTGTCATATTCTAATATTATATTACCACATTCTGTATGTTTCTTAAAAAATCTAATTTATTGTATAAGTTACATAATTCTAGTTACTAAATTTTATAAATCTATAATAAATAATAGTATTGAATCATGTGATAATATGTTGCAAAGTATGTTGAAATTTAGATAAGTTGAATTCTCATAACTTTAAATCATTATTTACTTATATTTTGAAAAATATATATACTTCACGTGAAAGTGTTTTATCTTGCCATGATCTTTTTCATCAAGCTTTAATTAATAAACAATATTATTTGACAAAGTACTAGCAATATTCTCCTACGAGTGTGTGATTCACATCTTTTATTATTCAAATGCTTGCTTCCATTTACTCTTCATGCATACACGTACAAGAAGAAGCATTCCTTATATGCATGACAAAGTTTTCTTCCTATCTTATTCTTCTCCCTCTTACCTTCACATGTTTTTCTTATGAAAAACTTCTCCCATGATTTATTACAGTTTGAAACATATTTTCTTATATGATCCTAGCCTCTGTTGCATTTTTGAATTCATGTGATCTTGCACTTAACCTATTGTTTCATGTGTTAGAGTAAGCACTAATCACATACAACCATATTTGTTAGACCATAATAATGTAATCTTAATATAATCAGATTAAAAAACCTAAACTTTCCTTACCAATCTCCAATTTGTTTAAAGTATGACTAGTGTGACTTTTTATGCACCTATATAACTAAGGTAGAAAATGTTAGATTACTACTTGCTTTTGCTTGTATTATTGGATTCAAACTTTATGAAATAAATATTAAGAGTATTTTCTTGAATGATTATATAAATAAAGAAATATATGTTACACAACTACCAACTACCTGACTGTGTAGATTAAAAAGTTTCTAACCACACGTTTATGGGATGAAAGAAGTTTCAAGAAGACAATGATAAGTAAGACTTAACAATTTTCTTTTATTTTTTGGGATGAGAGAAGGAAAGTTGATAACTTTTTTTTATAAAGAAATTTGTGAAAGACATAATTTTGGTGCAAGTATAGGTAAATGATATTATATTTGGATTAATTAATGAAAGTCCTTCTCAAGAATTTTGTTTTAATTTACGTAGGATGAATTTGAAATGTTAATGATGAAAAAAATGCTACAAGTCAAATAAATGAGTTATGGAACTTTCTTGTATTAATCTTAATATTGTCTTGAATTCTTAAAGAAGTATGATATAAAAAATTGGAAAAAATCTATAACCCTCGTATTAATCAACTACTATATATCTTTATCTTGATGGAGATGAAAGACGAAAATTAATAGATTCAACTAAGTGCAGATGATTCTTTTGGATAATTACATACTCATATAATGTCCAACATATGTATTTGTGGAAGGTATCAATTTTATCGTAAAGAATATCATTTCATGATTCCAAAATAATTTTCAAATATTTAAAAGGTATATATCTAGTTTGTGTGTGGAGAAAATTAAGTCATATAAATTATTCATATTCAAAATTTTGATAGTTGTAATTTAGATAAGGAGAGCACAAAATATACTTTTCATCTTTTTAGAAGTAGTCTAATTTTATGACTTAGAAAAAACAAACTTATGTAGCATTCACAGAAGTGAAGTTGAAAATATAGTTGTTGAAAGTTGTTATGTTTGAATTTTGTGGTCCAAACAATAAGTTGCTGATTATAAAGAAAAGTTATACAAAATTTATCTCCAGAAAAGACTTTCTATATCGGTTAAAATGGATTTTTTACGTCGGTTAAAGAGGCGACATAGATACAGGGATCATAGAAAGTAATAGACTTTTTACGAAAATTTATATTGACAAGATTTAAACCCAGTACTTTAGAGTTGAAGACCGACACTCCAACCACTAATCTACTACGATTTTCCGATAAATAACTTACAAATAAATTATATTTATATACAAAATATATAAATACAAATATATTTATATTTTTTAATATATTTATATACTTATATATTTAATTTTTTTGATTTAATATACATTTTTTATGTCGGTTGAATTTTAATCGACATATAAAGTACTTTCTATATCAGTTAAATTTTAATCGACATAGAAAGTACTTTCTATGTCGGTTGAAATTTAACCGATATAAAAAGTAAATTTTCCTATATATCATGTCTGTTATATAACAACAGACATAAAGAGTTCGTAATATTATTACAAAAATGTCACCGTCCTATATACTATGACGGATGGATTACAACCATCATAAAAAATCGTCGTAGAATCATATTTTTCCGCTAGGGATTTCTTTGAGATGATAATACATCACAATTAATTTGACAAAGAATATATATTATATGCTATAACTAAACACATTAAAATTAGATAAAAGATGATAATTGAAATAGTGATTGTAGCATTGAATTTGTTTACACACATTATTAATTAGCTTATAATTTTACCAAATCTCTTACTAAATATAAGTTAATCATTAAGACGTGAGTTAGGTATTCTAAACCTGTCTAACCTTAATTGATAATGAATTGTGTGTATCATTTTTGTTGATTTTGTTTAAGGTCTACATTGATGAATAAGAATGTGATTAATTTGTATAACTTAATTTCTATGCTAAGATATATTGACTGATCTATACAAAAACTATGTTCTGTATATCCTAACAGGTTAAGAATTGTTATTAACCAATTAAAATTAATTTGGGAGAGATTTATAAGTGAAGTTAATTTTCAATTTTTAATTAAGTGTAATATATTATTCAATGTTCAGTTTTTAAAAAATATCAACTTCTTCAACCCTATTGTTATGTCTTTCTTCACCGTAAAATAAATATAGTATCTTGTAACAAAAAAAATAAAAAATAATTTAATTAAAAATGAAACAACGTTTCGGATAATTAAAAATTATAGAATTAAAACTAAGTAAAAAAAAATAGAAACCAAAATCACAAACATTTAAAAATTAAACAATTAAAATTACAGAAAAAAAAATTAAAAAACCAGAATCTCATATATTTCAAAACTAAACAATTAAAATTGCAAAAAAAAAGATTTATAAAATAAAAGACTCAAATTACAATTATATCTATTTTAATTTATCCTATTCAGGTTCCTTATTCTGTTCCCCAATGGAAGAAGGAAGTTAGAGAGGAAACGGTGAAGAAGAAGACAGAAGAATCTCCGGTTAAGACGGATCTATTTATTCCTCACCACTCTTCGTTTCCTTCCACCTTTCATTTTATTTCTTTTCATTTCATCTCACCACACAAAGCCAATCTCCATCATTACACCACAACAACCTCCTCTCTCTTCCCCAAAATACACCAACTAAAAAACAAACAAAATCTAAAAATTTCAAAAAACAAAATCATTTTCTTCCTTTCAAATTCTTTTCCACGCGCAAATACAAAAATAAATAAATAAAGACAGAGGAGAGATACATTCACGGTAATGGTGCGGTGTTGAATGGGCAATGTTACGGGACCGGTGGCGGCGAGATTGGCGTTTTTCCCGCCAGAACCAGCGACGTACGAGATTTCCCGGGGCGGGGACGGGAGGGTGCTGGTGTCTGGTGTGAGCGGCGACAAGAATTTGGAGGCTCACGTGCTACAGACGAAGGGTGGGAACAAGATCGTTGCGACCTTCTGGAAGCACCCTTTCGCCAGGTTCACCTTGCTCTACTCCCATGGCAATGCCGCTGACTTGGGCCAGATGTATGACCTTTTTCTTGAACTCAGGGCACACCTCCGGGTCAATATCATGAGGTTTGTTTCCTCCTCTTTACACTTTCCATAATCAAGTTGCACATTTATTTTTCCTGTGATAGGTTTTTCCCGATTCAGTTTCACGTTACAAACATCATTTCCGTATAGTGGAAGGAAGAATATCTTATGAAAAAGATGGGAATTATTTCCCAATAATTAAATCATTTAATTTTTGGTTACACCTTTTATCTTTATATTTAAAAACTTTTTATGTAAGTTTTAGTGAATAGGGTGATTGAAACTTTACTAAAAAACAATTAAAAATGTAAGAAAGAGGAATGTATGTTTGAGAACTATAAGGAGATGCAAGTGCCATTTTATACAAACATAAAAAAAAAAAAAAGGAATATCCTTTATCAAAACCATAAAGGATTATGTTCATTTTAAAACTGGAGTATCATTTAACATATTATAGGAAAAGTAGTTACTCCATGAACAAAAAATTATGAAAAAAAGAATGATGTTTTATAAGGTAATTAAGGGAACTTTGAAGAAAATGTTCAATGAGCCAAAGAAACATAAAATGGGAAAGTGAGAAGTTTTGGCATGACACACGGTGCTACTGTTTACTTCTTCAATAGCCACCCAATTGTATTATACTAGATGGATAGGAGGTTCGATTCTGAATCTTGTTAAATGCAAAGTTAATTCTTCTCAAATAAAGGTGGTGTGTGTTTTTAAACCAGTTGGTTGTGTTTTGCCTTGTATCTTTTGCCGTGAATTATATACTTTTTCTTTTTTGTTCATCCTGACACAGTTCATAAATGTTATTGTACGTTTGAGGTAAAATAAGTAAAATTCCTTTCGGCATATTTTTTTTGAAACTTTTTGCTACTATGCAGCTACGATTATTCAGGATATGGAGCATCAACAGGTAAGGTAAGTATCACCCCTGATCTCAGATGTCAGATTGTCCTTAGGTTTGGGACTGTGTTTACCATGGAATATGATATAAAGAAGCAATGATTCGTAGATTAGATTATCCATTCCTTTTGAATTCTACATTTTCTCCATACCCCTATCCACCAATCTAACTAGATGTCTTATGTGTGTTTATCTCTTAAACTTTGATAGCCATCGGAGTTCAACACATATTATGACATAGAGGCTGTGTATGATTGTTTGAAGAGAGACTATGGAGTTCAGCCAGAAAATTTGATTTTGTACGGCCAATCAGTTGGTAGTGGGCCCACGATACATTTGGCTACTAAGTTAAGGAATTTGAGAGGTGTTGTCATTCACAGTGGCATTCTTTCGGGGATAAGGGTCTTGTACCCTGTAAAGGTCACATTTTGGTTTGACATATTCAAAGTAAGTTTTGCCCCAGTGATCTTCACACTTCTTAATCAGTACCTAATTGCAATATTGATCACTGAGTTTCGTATTAACAAACGTGTCTTTATTAATTTCAGAATATAGACAAAATAAGGCATGTTGACTGTCCAGTCTTAGTTATACATGTAAGGTTATCTTTCCATCTATTGTTCTTATTAGTTTTTACATTATGTTTCTTGCAGTGTTTGAAAGAACTCACTGGCCTATTTCTTCAGGTTTCTGTCCTTTAGAGATTCTTTCTTTACTATTTTGGGTTTATTATAAAATTGTTCTGTATAGAATTTCATATTTGCTATCTTTATCGACAAGGTAGTTCATATGGAAACTCGGTTGAGCCCGACAAGGAATTATTTTCCTGGTACTGTAGTATATTTGACTAAGAATTATTTTGGCATTATACTTCTCACCAGTGTGCAGAAAGACTTCATATCTTGTGACATGAATTTTAGTGAATCGGTTCTTAAAAAAATTGTTCACCTGAATATCTCTACAAAGTTCTGTTTTCAGGGTATCACTCAAATTTTCCATCCTAACCTGAGATTATAAAACAATCAATGATTCAAATAAAAACTTGAAACAAAAGCAGAATGTAGATAACTCTTCAAGTATATATAAAATTATTAGACCTAGCTTCAATATGATCATAGGCATATCAAATGTTCCACTTGAAAGGCATGCTTTTATTTGTCACTTGTCTTCTGCTGCTATTGAAACAGGACGAATCCTTACTGTAGCCTTTGTCCAAATTTTTTTTGTTTGGAAGAACTTTGTCCGAATTTTTTTTTGACATGTATCTTTTTCTGCCCAAGTTGTTTTCTTGGCTTTTTAAGTCTTCAACACTAATTTACATTAGAAGAAAAACAATAAACAGAATTTTAATTACAATAGGATTCTATTATTGCTCTTGCTTTTATTTCTTAATCTTGAAGCCAACTCCATAATCTAATCAATGCATATATTTTGGAATATCAACGCATTTTTTCTTTTCTTAGGTTGTTGGGAAACATTGGCACAATATAAGACCCTGCGTACACAAAGTACTCTTGTTTAGATAAGACCAACTTGACCCACCATAGTAGCTATCACACTATCATTGTAACAAAACTTGAGATATAAAATTTCAAAATTAGATGTTAGGGTTTCGACTCGATTATGTGTCACTGTCGATTATTTGAGTAGTCTGTACGAAAGACCTTATCTTTGTTAGAATAATACACTTTCCCTGCTAACAGTAGTTTTGTTTGTCTGCTTGTGTATTATGGGCAGGGAACTAATGATGAAATCGTTGACTGGTCCCATGGAAAACGATTGTGGGAACTTTCCAAGGAAAAATATGACCCTTTGTGGGTGAAGGGTGGGGGTCATTGCAACCTTGAGGCTTTCCCTGAGTACATCAAGCACTTACGCAAGTTCCTAAATGCCATGGAGAAAATCTCAATAACAGGAGAGACAAACAAACAAGTCACTCAAAATCCTACTAATACTAATGCTAATACTAATACTAATACTGAATCCAAACAAAACAAATGTTTAAGATTTGGTCTAAAAAAATAGGTCGATCTGTTTGAGGTTTTGCACGTAGGAAATCAGTATGTTTGAAGGTCAGACCAACACTACTTTCACTCAGGTCCAAGATTCGGGAGTTAATGTATTTCTTAAAAATTGAAGGATGAATCCTGTTTAAATGGCCATATTTTCATGGAGAACTAAGAAGTGGTGTTGCCTGTGTTCATTATAACGTAGAGATATCTAGCGAAGTTGAGTTTATGTATAGGCCCTCGTCATAACGAGGACACCTAGGTACTATTGAAAGTTGATCAACATGGTTTATATGCTTGGCATGCAATTATTATAAGGATCATTGCACTATAATAATAATAATAATAATAATAATAATAATAATAATAATAATAATAATAATAATAATAATAATAATAATAATAAGTTATCAGATTTGAAAAATTGAAATATAAATTAATTTCAACTAATTTAACTTTACTTAATGTTATAATTTTAAATATAGTTATAAATAAATCTATGGACTATTTTAATAAATATGATGAAAGATTGTCTACAAAACATAAGTTTCTATCTTATAAAATTAATTTAATTAATATTTTTAGTAAGTATTAAACTAAGTATTTTTATGCGGTACAAATCAAGCTAGGTATTGCCTATTATGGGGATAACAACCACTTTGATGCTGAAACCAATAATGATTCCAAAATATAAAGCTGAATTTAAAGCAATATATTATTCGATATTCACAAGTGATATATTTATTTTTGTTCTTCAACATTATGAAAAATCTTAAATAATCATCAGTATGAGATGGAAGTAGTATAGTGAAGTAGTGGTGTATACTAGTTAAATATTTCGGCATACCATTTATAATTTTTTTTATATTAGCCTAAATTTTAAATTTATTTATTTATTGTTTTTTAATTTTATAAAAATTTATGCTAGTAGATAAATATTTTAATTGCTTACACATATATCAACAGTTATGGATATATTAATAAATATTTACAATTTTATTTTTAAAAACTATATATACACACTTATAAGAGATAGTAATAATATAACATATTTCAAAGTTTATATGAAAAGTTATATACATAAATTTTCTCTCATAAAACATAGATATTATAAGATCTTTTTAATTTAAATTTACTATAGATTTGAAAACAATATTCTAAAAGACTATATATGTGTTGGTAGAAGTAAATTTACTTATGGATGGTAAAAAAAAGAAATTTGAATGTTTAAAGGATTTGATGTCTCCAATCTTGATGATGAAGATTCAACATGTCATGATTCAATGTTTGATCTTTGATCTATGCTTGTATATATGGCAGAAATTATAACACTACAAAAAAAAAAAAAAGCTTATTGTCTACGGATAAAAGTCCATAGGTAAATTTTACATTACCTACGGAATTACTATCCGTAGGTAAATTATATTAAACTAAAAGAATTGTCACTAGCAAGAATCGAACCCAGTACCTTAAAGTTGAAAACTGATACTCCAACCACTAAACTATTAGGATATTCTAATAATAATTTACAACTAAATTATACTTATATTTATTCGTGTAAATATATCAATATATAAATATATAAATACATAAATACATAAATACATAAATATATAAATACATAAATACATAAATATATAAATACATAATATAGATAAATACATAAATATATAAATATATAAATACATAAATACATAAATATATAAATAGATAAATATATAAATATATAAATACATAAATATATAAATACATAAATATATAAATATAAATATATAAATATAAATATATAAATATAAATATATAAATATAAATATATAAATATATAAATATAAATATATAAATACAAATATATAAATATATCAATATATAAATATATCAAAATATAAATATATTTTATATTTATATATTTTATATTTATATATTTTATATTTATATATATTTTATATTTATATATATTTTATATATATTTTTTTTATATTTATATATTTATATATTTTATATTTATATATTTTTTTATATTTATATATTTACACGGATAAATATAAATATAATTTATTTGTAAATTATTATCAAAATATCCTAATAAGCTTAGTGGTTGGAGTATCATCCTCCAACTCGAGGTAGTAATAAATAAAAATATTTTGTTTAGGTGAATGCATTACCTACGGATTATAATCCGTAGAAAATTATCTATCTACAACCAAATTACATACGGATTTTCTACGGGAAGAAATCCGTAGGTAAAGTGACATTACATACGGATTTTACCCATAAATAATAAGCATTTTTTTTGTAGTGTAAATAATCAAGTTTCACAAAGGGAAAGATTTACAAGCGACAAAATTTCCTCTTAAGTCCGAGAATAAAAGATTATATTTGTATTAAACAAATTGATTGATCTGTTTTGGAAAAATGTTGTGTGTTGAAAATTTGAAAGGGTTGAATGTTGTGTAAAACATGTTAAATACTATTATGAAGTGAGTTACTCAGTTCACTTTGTTGAAGATAGTCCAGTTTCACTTAATTTAATTTTGTATCAAGTTGACGTGACAAACTTTTATGTTTTATAGGCACTGAAATATGTTATCTTGTAACTTTTGATTATTTCTAACATATAATGGTTTTTTTTGTCTAGGTGCACAATTTAATGAGAAGATGTACACAGATCTTGTGAAGGAATTTGATGAATTTTGGCTCAATTTCAGAAAAGTGGTATTCTTCAACATCAAGCTAAATTTTCACTTTCTATCATATTTTTTAATTAATTATGTTGATATAAATATATTAATATTTTAATTTTAATTTTGAATCAGACTGATCCGTTAACCTATTAATTTAACATAAAAAATTTATAATCTATTTTAAAATATAGATTATATTAAATTTTAATTTTTTTATTTCTCTCATAAATATTTAAAACACTGGATAGTATGATTTTTTTCCTAGCTAGCATGTTTGAACGTAACGTTGTTAATATTTGTAGATGGTAAGTTGAAGACTCTTAGAAAGAATCAATGTTAATATAATCGAAGCACACCAATTCTTATGAGAAACACTTAATCGGTTATTTCCATTTGATGAATGAAAATTGTCATTTTGTGGTACGAGGTAATTTCTTAACGTTCTCCACGTTCTAATATAACCCTTTTTTTCTTATTATTTTAGCATAAAATTTGAGGTGTACTCAATGCATACACGTGCTTATTATGGGCTTCGTTTTGTGAATTTGATAAAGGAGCAAAGTATGGTGCTTAATTAATAATTTATTAAAAACTTAGAAACTCAATAAATTAAAATGTTCTTCAAAAAATAAAACCATAAAATGCATTTTATAGTTAATTAAAATTTGCTGAAAACTATAAAAATAAGAAAGTTATTATAAAATTAGTTGTGAGAATGATTAAATTTTATCATTTATAATAAATTTGGATAAGAGAGTATGTTAAAAAAAAATGTTGGTGAGATTTCTGATCTGAGTTTAATAGTGGCGTGGTTGGTAAACGTCTTGCATTGTTTCTTTGTCCTTTCGATATCTTCTTTTGTGACTGGGCTGGGTTTGTTGCATCAATGCTGATGCATCGATCAAAAGCAAAATATTATTGCCTATCTTGTCCTTGTCCAAAAGGAAACAAGATTCAATACATATATAACCAACCACCTTAAATAAACATATGTTTGAGACATGTGTTTGCTTTTTTTCTTCCTCTCCAACAATTGTCTATGCGCATGCCCTCCCATCAATGCCATGATCTTTATTGTTCTTCTCTATCACAACTATAATAAAAGTTCACAAATAAAGTTTTGTTTGCAAATTAAGCTAAATGAATTATCAAACTTTATGGATTCCATTTCATTCACGGTGACACTTAGTACAATTTTTCTTGATTATAAAATCTTATTATTTTCATTTTTTTTAGTTCATTGAAGTGTTTTTATTAATTTTTTTTTTATGGATTACGTTCATTATTAGGAAAATGGAAGAAGAATAAGTTTCAAAAGAAGAAATTTTTTATTTATTTTGGAGTGTAAATTATTAAAATTTGTTTCTTTTTTGGTAGTCTTATACAAACTATATAGGTGTATTTTTTCTTTCTTTTATTTGTGTAGACTTTTGCAGAGACATACGTGTGTTTGATTTGCGTTTCTAATTGAGTTTTACTTTAATGGTCAACCTATGAAGAAAATAATTACAAATTCAGCTAAATTATAAAGGAAAAACATATCAAATATGGAGTCTCACATCATTTGAAAAAAATATAAAATAAAATATTTTAGAGTGTCACTTACAAGCATAGAGGTGTCTATTGTTTTTGAATTTAGTCCCACAAATATATGCATGAGAGCTAAACATCTATAAATAAAACTCATTGTCTTTTGTAAACTTTATCTTTGGATGAACGATAATTAATTTGCATAAATATTTGTCTTATTGTTCTTTACAGTCGAGCATAATATTTGCTTAGTTATTTACCAAGAAATCTTTTTTGAAAGAGGATAATACTAAGTTTCATTTTTAGACTTAGAAAGATTTAAGAATTAAAAAAGAAGATTTTATCACTAGAGATATCTTTATTAGAAAAAAATGTGACATTAGATAACTAAATAGATAGAATTTCTTTAAATATTAGGAAATATTTAAAATAATATGTCTCAATTGTCTCCACCATCAAATTATTTAAAAAATCCTAATTTAATATGTTTATGAATAATTCACTTTCATGGATAAGAACATGATTAATGTAATAAGTGGAAAAGTTCTCGTAGTTACTAATTTATAATAATTCTCTATTAGAGGCAATATAACTATTGAAAATATTTTTGAGATACCAAAACTATATATTCTAAGGAGTACCATTTGACCTTATTTTTCACTAGTCATCTAGAATCACCCATTGAATCTATGCATTATCTTTCAAATGGATACATCCACTCTGTTAACTAAAAATGGATACAAGTCAAACTTCACGAATAAAAAGGGAGATATCCTATTAAATTAAATAATTTATAAGGAAATATCATTTACAATTTGCAAAGAATGATACAAAAATTTCTTTTATCTTAGTTATCACTTCTTTCGTAAATGTTGCATGGGACAAATATTTGAAGAAATGACTAATTTGAGTAATTAAGAGGATTTGAAACATATACTAAGAATGTATTAAATACAACATGGAGTATTACTCATAGACAAAATAAGAATAGACTCAAAGTGTTAATATATTAATACAAAACTTAATTCAAATTTTATGATCTTGATTTTGTGGATTGAATCTTCATATTTAGTTTTTCATTGATGAATAACGAAGAACACAACATAAAATATAATATTAAAAAACAATTATGAAAATTAAAAGAAAACAATTTTATAGTCTAATCCCTAAATCCTATTACAAAATTCAAATATGAAAGAACTCTTATAAAGAAAATATAACAAAACTCTTTTAACTTCAAAATCCAATAAAAATAACAAACAACTATAAATCCAACAAACCATATACTCGTTTCAAATCACCATAAGTATAAAATTTAATAACTAGAATCAATAATATATATATATATATATATATATAAAGTTATGGACAAAAAATTAAATCAAAGGTTAGATTAGCTAAAAATATAAAATTAAAACATAATGTAAATTTAATCTAATTTATTCATACTAAGAAAAAAAATTAGAATATAAAACATATGAAAAATATTTCTAATATGCCTAAATATATGTATATAAAATATGTGTTATCATTTCTCCTATATTAAAGAATTAGTATTATTTAATTATTAAGTCACTATAAACTAGTAGCATAAATAAAAGTTTGCGTGAAGTTAAAAAAAATAAATTCTCACAGGGACATATAAAATTTAAGTTCCATATGAGAATGATAACTTTATTAAATAAAGGATTTATAAAGACAATTTTCTCTTAAACAAAATTCTAACAAACTTAAAGGTATAACATATATTTCACACTTGTTAGCATTTTAATTCACATTAATACTATTTTCTTTTTCAATGTGCATGGAAGTGTATCTTGTATATTGGTTTGCATGGAGTAGTCATTGTGAAACGTAAAGATTATTACGATATTCATATTGACTTTGACATCTTTGTAAGTTTTTTATGACAAGATTTAATATTATAATAAACTTTTATGGATAAAATGGAATAGGTGCAACTCATTTAAAAAATTTAGGACAATTTAATAATTTTAATTTATCAATCAGTTTTGTCGTATAACTCATTAATACAATATGCAATATATGATAGAATGATTAACTTGTTTTTAAAAAGATAATTATATATTAAAAACTCGACATTAATACAACAGATAAAAAATAGGATAGAGTGGTTAATCTATTTTTAGAAAGATAATTATATATTAAAATAATAATAAAAAAGATTATAATTAAAAATATTATTTTTTATTATTATAATATTAAAATATAGAAATATTATATAATATTATAATTAAAATTATAAAAATTAATCAATTAAATTTAAATTATTGATTATAATTAGTTATTTTAATATATAAGTATAGTAATTTTTTAATTTATTTAATAAAAATATTAATTAATAAATAAAAATTAAAAATTATTTATATAATTAAATATATATATATATTATTGACGAACTAATCATCTTTGACTACAAAATAAAACTAATTAATTCATTTTATTATCCATAACTTTTACATGTATAAAAGAATGATGCTAAAAAAAATAAAAAAAATATTCTATAGGTTTTTCAATAACAAAGTTTAGTGGTATAATCAACTCAATGCTAGAAAAATGGAAAAAAAATAATATATCATTTATAAGTGTAAATTAATATTGTTTACTGTAAAAGAAATGCTTAATTTTGTACAAATCATCTTTAAAATCAATATTGTTAACTGATCAACCACCAGACAATTTGTTAACCATTTATTAATGTAAAGTATTTAATCTATCATCATCATCTGACGGTAAGATAGATAGTCTGGTGAAAAAAATTGTACGTCTCTCAAAAGTTTGTATTAACTTATAAATGTTTTCACTTAGACAATCAAATATTTCAAAATTAATTATATTTATTAATAAACAAAAATTGTTTTATAATAATCTTCGGTCTTATTACAGACTTTGAATAGTCTATATTAAAATCTAATATTAAAAAAAAAATCATGCTCTATATTTTTCTTTATAAGAAAACATTCATCTTTCTTTTATATGTCAATTTTATCTATTTTTTACTTCATTTAATAGTATATTTCTACATAACAAATTTTCGTTAAATTTTGATATTTAGTTGCATCATTACTATATATTTTTTTTTCATTTTATGAGATTAATACTAAGAATATTTTGAAAAAAAAAGATATTAGTAAAATTTAACTTAGGCAATGAGTTTAGTTTTTAAAAATTATAAATGTAAAAAAAAATAAAAATATGGAGGGAATAAAATTTAACACCTAATGGGAAAATGGTAGTTGGAAGCACTTCAAAATTGGAACATTGCATAACAACCGACAAAGTATGAGTTTTACTTTTTTACTTTAATAGGTAATTAGAAAACGAGAATTATTAACAATAATAAATATGCGTTATTACAGATACATCATGATCATTGGCATTTGTTTAATAATTTGTGTAAGAGCATATGCCAAGCGAATAAATTTGTGACTCAATAACAACTTTCCACCTGCCTGGGTCTAGTCACTAACTTCCACTTCAGCAGACAAAACCGTGCCAAGACTCCATCTTAGCTCACAAACCGCATTAACTAATTCTATCACCAAAACTCTTATTCTTCCAATTCAAATTAAGAATATTAATTTCATTATTTTAAATATTACAACATATCTCTCTATAAAAATATTACGTAAAAATAAATCAGATAATTTCACGAAAAATGCAATTCTTTTCTTGTAAAAAAAAATTAAACACTATTTAAATTTACTTTTATATATTATTTACTTTGTTGATATATGTTATTGTTAAACACTATTTATATTTAAATTAAAATTTTATAAATTTATGCACATCATTGTAATCTTATTAATATTGTTTATCATATTATATTACTACATTAAAATATGCAAATAATAGTATTTTATTGAATCTGGATGATATTGGTTAAACTGTAAATCTACAACCTTGTTTAAAATAATGGGATTAAAAAAATGATTTTTAAGGAAAATATTCTCCTGAAAAGTTTTTGACCATATTCCGTGTACAGAAAACTTAAAATGGTATATGCATTTAAAAAGAAGCAATTATAGCAAGCACATTACTATAATACCAAGATTCTTCTTGAGATTTTCTAAATTTCTAGACAGCGTAGTTTTCTGAGTTGACCATTGCATCTACTTTTGGGTAATTAATAGTTAGAAGCAAATTTAAATCCCATTAAACCTGAAAAACCAGAGAAGAAGTTGGGACATTTAATTTTTGAATAATGATAGGACGCATTCATGTAGGCATGATTGAAATCATTTGTGAAAATCATGTTAGTTTTTGGTTGACTGGGGCATAGGGGGTTTGGGGGGCATTTGCATCCATCGGTTGGGCACATGAGCTTTACTATATCAGTCCCCAAAAGGGTTTTAATTGGGAACATGTCACTCTGGCATTGGCGTGAAGAGGAGAGAGAAAACAGGGAATGTCATGTATTGAAAACTTGAGAGGGTGGAAGCAAGCTGCATTATTGTATTGCATTTTGCATCAGCGATTAACTAATAATTAAAGTCAAAGGCTTTTTTTCCCTGTTTCTTTGGTAGAAAAAGTGAAGGACAAATAACAGAGCAGACAGACAGAGAGCGAAATAAAGAGAGAGATTTCACTAAAATACTAAGTGATTTATGTTTTTTGTTTTGCTGGCTTCAAATCCATCACTGTCCATTTTGTGCAGGTTTCGTAACCTTGTTCTACTTCCCCAGTTTTCCCTTTCTCTCTTGCCCTTTTGGTTGTTGGTGAAAGAGAGGCCTTGAAAATAAAGTTCCCGTTTTCAAAATTGGAGCTTTTGGGTCTCGGAGCTCTGATCTCTTCCTTAGAGTCTGTTTTTTTCATCTGGGTGTGTTGGTTTTACTGCTGGCTCGATATGGCTGTGGAAAACCAAAGGGGTCATTTGGGGGATGAAGATGGGGGTAGTGACCGTTTTCCCGTGGGTATGCGTGTTCTGGCCGTGGATGACGACCCCATTTGTCTCAAAGTGTTGGAGACTTTGCTTCGCAAATGCCAGTATCAGGGTTAGTTGCTTTTAATTATTTTGGTTAAGCAAAAAATTCGTGCGTCCTTGACTTAGGCCAAGTTGGTAGGCTTGACTTGTAAAATTTGGGATTGCCAATGAATACTGTGATTGGTGGCTCGTATGTATTGACCTTGCCTTCAAATTCCTGCTCAAAATTTGGGATTTCTTGTTTGCAAGCTATACAAATTATTCCTCTTCCTAAATTTGAAGGCTTTGGCACAAAATGAAATCATATTTTAATCAAATTCTTAGCTAGTAACCTTTTAGAGCTATTATTGGACCAATCTGTGTAGGCTTTGGGTATGGGGGAAATTGATCTGCTTTGAGATTGTTTATGATGCCTTTGAATTTGTCAAATCTCATATCTGATTTGTGGTTATTGTTGCAGTTACTACAACTAATCAGGCAGTTGAGGCACTGAAAATGTTGAGGGAAAACAGAAATAAGTTTGACCTCGTTATCAGCGATGTGAATATGCCTGACATGGATGGATTTAAGCTCCTTGAGTTGGTGGGACTTGAAATGGACCTACCTGTCATCAGTAAGTTTACACTCCTTTTGTCTTGACATGCATTTGACCTGAGCTTTTCTTAAGCATATTATGAGGTTTTGGTGTATGATTGATGAAGATTATCCCAATTACAACTCAACTTGGTCAAATAACGTTCCTTTTGTTTTCCCCAAAATTAGGTAGTTGATTTTTCCTTACAAGAGTTAAATATTGTCATTCAAAATCCGAACTTGTGAAAAATTAAATTTATAATCTCATGATAGTGGGTTGAAGCTATTCACTGACATACACTATTATTTTTTGTGATGTTCCAGTGTTGTCAGCACACAGTGATACAAAGCTGGTGATGCAGGGTGTTACGCATGGGGCATGTGACTATCTACTGAAACCTGTTCGAATTGAAGAGCTGAAGAACATTTGGCAACATGTAGTCCGTAGAAAGAATTTTGATTCCAGGGATCAGAACAAGGCTTCCAATGATGAAAAGGCTCTTAATACTGCTGGGGAAGGTAGTCCAAGCCTAAGATCAGAAAACAGTGGTGACCAGAATAAAAGACTTGGTAAAAAAAGGAAGGACCAAAGTGAGGAAGAAGAAGATGATGGGGAAGGGAATGGAGATGATGATGACCCCTCCGCACAGAAGAAACCTCGTGTTGTTTGGTCTGTCGAGTTGCATAGAAAATTTGTTGCTGCTGTTAATCAACTGGGCCTAGAAAGTAAGTTTGTGAAAGCAAAAAATTAGCGTTCCCAATTTGTTTGACTTCTGTACAATATAATTTCATATCTCAAAATTAATACTATAATCCCTAATGCCATGTTTATTCACCTTTTATTGCAGAGGCTGTTCCCAAGAAAATACTTGACCTGATGAATGTTGAAGGGCTTACAAGGGAAAATGTGGCAAGCCATCTACAGGTATAAATTCTTGGTTTTGTAGTTATTTAGTTGTTTGATTCTCAGGGGACAAAGATCTTCTAGATCAGATGATTCTTAAAATTTTTGTGATATACAGCATATTAATAACTCTGGAAAAGTGTATAGTAATGTCAACTATCAAAGTGTTAAGACTTTCACTTCGACTTGAAAGATGCTCTTAGTATAATATTTTAGATATTTCCTTGTAATAATTTGTTTCAATAAGATAGGATAGATCAAATTCAAAAAATGGCTTGTTACAAACTGGACATTTGAGACTTCAAATCCAAGTTTGGGACATAGAGCATAGGTAGAAAATGGCTGTGCGCCTATTCGTGTTCATTTTACATGACAAAAGTAGTGTGCCATATTTATATTGCTGTCCTTGTGTATTGCAGAAGTATAGACTATATCTGAAAAAGGCAAACCATCAAGCTAACATGGTTGCTGCATTGGGTGGTAGTGATTCTTACCTACGAATGGGTTCAATAGATGGATATGGGGATTTTTGCACTGCATCTGGTTCTGGAAGGATCTCAAACACTACATTACCATCATATGCATCTTCTGGAATTTTCAGTAGACTGAATTCCCCAGCTGGCTTGAACATGCGAGGAATCAGTTCTCCTGCACTTATCCGGCCTGTTCAGACTCAAAACATCAACAGCTCCTTAAACACACTTGGAAACATTCAGCCATCCATTTTTTCTGCAAATCAGAGCTCAAGTTTGTTACAGGGCATTCCGACATCAATTGAGCTTAACCAATCTAAGCAAAGCAACTGTTCAACTGGAGTATCGCAGCTAAATCAAGTTGATTCAAGTGGATTTGCAGTTGCCTCTGGCTTCCCAGACAGTAGGGCTACAGTTAATGGTCCAAACAATTCTCTACCATGTGTCTCAAATAATCATCTGATTTTACAAGGAAATCCACAGCAAACACAGAGCCCAGGAGCATTTCGAAATCAGTCTTCTGTTAGAGCAGCTTCCTTGAGTGCAGAATCTTTTGGCATATGTGGTTCTTCTAATATGTTGGATTACAATCGGTGTAATGAAAACTGGCAGAATGCAGCTCAGTTGTCCAAATTTCAGGCCATTTCCTTGCCACTGTGTGAGGCTTTCAGCAATGACCAACTGTCTCCCACTAGCATCAATATTTCCAACTCAGGTACACATATTGGCAACACTCCGGTTGATTTTTCTTCCAGAATGGCAATGTCTGTTCCTTTGGAGGATGGCAGAAATGAGATCCGTTGCCAAGAAGGCTTGATTGGAAATATTATACAGCCTTCAAGCTATGCACCACAACAAAGGTGGGAAGAACAGAAATTGGATTATAATCAAAACCTGAGTCGACCCTTCAATCCTGTAAATTCACATGCTTCTTCCAGTGCAGCAACAAGTTCTATGGGGCATGGCTTAAATCAAAATAATGCAATTTGTAGCAATAGAATTGATGCATCTTTGGTTGGCCCGTGCACTGAAGTTGGGAAATTCTCTTCTGACATTCAACTGAAGTCGAATGAAGCCTACATTTTGGAACAATTAAAGTCCCAAGAAGGATTTATGCAGAATACTTTTGGGACCTTGGATGACATAATGGGTGCAATAGTCAAAAGGGTATGATTAAATAGCCTACTTTTGTTTGTTCCCCTCTTTAAAGAAAACCATCATGTTTCTTCCCCGGTCTTCCAAATAATTTTCTGGTTGCATTTGATCCTAAAAGATCGTTTTAAATTATTATAATAAAATCACAATTGACTTTGAATTGACTGATACTTTTTTATGTTTGTGAGCTGTGGTTTGTCACCTTGATCTAGATAATCATAAACTTAGTTTTATTAATTAAATCTACCTTTCAGAAATAATTCATATAACAAGTAAATGTTTGTGTAGCTGTAGTTTGTCACCTTGATCTGGATATCTACGAAAAAACAATACACTTTACTGAGTTTTTCTTTCATCTGGTAATGCTATTTTGCAGTTACTTTTAGCATATCAGGTGACTTTTCATATGCAATGTAAAGTGAGAAGGTTTGTGCAGTTTACAAAGATTTTAGGTTGAGCCTTGTGTCACTCGTTCCAATTTTTGTTTAGTTCGTATTAGAAAGAAAGGAAGTTTTTAACCGTGCAACCTTTTTCAGTATTTGTGCTGCTTTTGGAATGAATTAGCGATGCAAATCTTGCAATGCTAAGGCAAAACAATGTTAATTCAGTTAACAGTACATGAGAAATTGAATGATGGATCATTATATAAAATGTTACTAAATTTAGTTACATAATCTGCAGTTATAAATGCTGTATGATTTTAAAAATGGTCATTACATTAGTCTCCCTAAATTTGTGTAAATCACAACCTCCCCCTATCTTGCTTCACAAGTTAAGGAGAACTTTATTAATATTCCCCTCAACCTATGTTGCGTAATTACAAACACCCCCTCATTTGTTGAGGTTGAGGTAGGTTTAAGTACATATCAGTGTAAGAAATTATATCATGTGTATGTTGTGTTAAACCATTTAATGCAAGACTATGATGCAGGAGCAAAATGAGTTGACATTGTTGGATGGAGAAATAGGATTTGATGCCTCCTACCCTGTTGGATCATGCAACTGATTTCTTATTCAGCTTGAATTCAGGATCAATTATCTGTCTCTGCAGCTGATTGATTGTGTAGTTTCTTTTATTTTCATGTTTTGCCACTAAATTTATTTTCTTGGTCAACATTTTGTTTCATTACTTGTGGACTTGTGTTAGCCATCTGATCCGTTCTATCTTTGTAGTCCATGAAAAATTCTGTATTGGTTTAGATAAAATAATTGTAATATGAATGTGTTTCTTGGTGCTCTCTATCACTTTTCTTTGGTAATAACTTTTAATATACAACTACTTTTTTAGATGCTTTGATAAAGAAGTATGAAAAGCCTGAAAATGGAAAGGAAAGATTATCACTCTTCACAATTTCGGTAGCATAAAATGACAGTAAACATAAAGTGCTTTTTGAACATTTTGAAGCATTTATCTATGGTCATAAATAGAAGTTAATTAATGAGAAAAGTTTTAAACCTGTTTTTATAAAAATCTATTTATCTTAGTGTTTTTTTTTTTAACTTGTTTTAATCTAAAACTAACCTCTAGTAATGGATATTGAACTTAAAATTAACTTGTTTTTGGAAATGTATTTATTTGTCAAACATCCCAAGACTCACTTATTTGATGTTGATTGTTATTTTTATTAGTGTTCTGTTTGCTTTTTTTTATTTATTTAATTATAATCAGGGTGTTGGATGTATTCCGGGATTGTCTTTGGCTATGTATTTATACTTTTATCTTTTGAATTATACCATTAATTTTCTTTCATTTGTTTTTTATTTATTTTGATATTTTTGGCTTAATTAATATTTATTTTTATGAGTATGTTTGGAGCAATCATCTTCATTAATAATTTTAGATAAGAAAAATAAAAACGGAAAATAGAATTATGGTTTTTAAAAATTAGAATTAGCTTATATATAAATTAACAATTCAATATTAAAAAATTTATGGGAAACAATTTTTATAATTTAATTTATGCGTAAGTTAATTTTGTCTTATTTAATATAGTGATGTTTTAATTTTATCTTATATAAGTATAGCAATGTTTTTAGCATGTTTAAGTCTATTAAAACAAAGTTACGTTATTCAATGATACCTGTTCGTGATCCTATCAAATAATTATTAGATAAGTTTATATTTATTTCTCTCGTTGATAAAATATGTTATATTTGGTGGATTAGACCTTTAATTTATATTTGAATGAAAAAAAATTGTAGAAGGTAATTTTTTTTAATTAGAGGATTTGAAATGTTTTATAATAAAATTGATTGTTGGATAAAATAAATTTAAATAAATTAAAATTTTGTAAATTTATGCGAGTAATTTAACCTTAAAATTAAATAATTTCAAATTTTATAAGAATTTGAAAATTTTTATATATTTTTTTCAAATATATTTCATCGTATCTTTTCTTTAACTTAGTCGTTTTTAGAATATCTTCCAGTTATTCCAATTATAATGACTTAACTCATTTTGGAATTGTTTGACTTAGATAAGCATGACCTACATGTTTAGATTGACTCAAATCGACTCAATCCATCATGATTAGTTCGATCCAATTCAATTCGTTCTAACTTAACCTAACACATTTTGAACTAATTCAATTTGTCTCAACTAATCTGACATGGTTCAATGCAACCTTACCTAACTTGTTTTAACTTGATTTAACTCTTGATCAGACCTAGTCTAACTTTCTACAATATGATTAACCCACCAAACCTATTCCAACTTGGCTTGTCCTGGTCTATTTTGTCTCATCTTGATACAATATTTTCATATCACATACATCTTGTCTTGCGTGATCTAACATGTTCGATTATAATCCAACCAAACATATCTTGACCTGTTTGACCTAATATTCCAACCTGACTTATCCTGATAAATTTGACTCATCCAAACACAAATTATCTTATTCCAACACATATTGACTCAATCTATCATAATCAAGTCAGATTAAACCAATTTGTCTTGATCAAACCTAACCTTATTAGAGTGTTAGTCAGTCCATTTTAATAATCCTAATGGTTCTTAATGAGTTTTAAAATTTACCTTAGAACAAAATAATTGATTATTACTTATCTAAATCAATGAATTCTATTATAAATTAAATATATTTTTTAAAATAACCTTAAACATTCATTTTAAAAATATTAAGGGTTAATTATTCAATATACTTCATTAACAATCTAAAAATATTTTCAATATAAAAAATCCATTATTGTTTATCTCTATGCAGTAATGTTAAGAATAAAACTCTTTATGATAAAAACTTGATAAGTTTTCTGAAGATATTGTTTTTCTTTGTAAAAAATCTATCGCAAGATTAAGTGATAGTTTTTAATTTCACATCTTAACAATTTTCCTTACACTTAGGTTTGGTGTAATGGTGTATGGATTTATACACCTTATTGGTATTCTTTTTCTACCAATTCTAAGAAGTTGATATTATTAAGTATTACATATTATATGTGAAGCTTCTATAATTTTTTATAAGATTTTAGTGAAATAATACAACTAAGATTATTTGAATTAAATATAATTTCGGATAGAATTGAATTTTAGAATAATTTTTTTCTTGTTTTCTTATCTTTATTTATTCTCTTTTGTGATTTTAGTATATTTAATCATTTGACATTATATCCATTAATACGTTGATTTCAAGATTCATAAAAGATTTTATAAAGGTCTATCATCAAATTATAAGAAGTTTTATCAATTATTCCACCCTCTTAATAAATAAACTACATTTTCTACATGTAAAAACCATTTATACTTACCAATTTCACTTAAAGATAAAAAAATATATTTTTTATCGGATAATAGCCCCTGTATGTGTCAGTATGAGTGTAGTTTATCCTAATCACATCAAAACAGGTACTTGCAGCACATATAAGTCGAACTAACTACCATATCAAAAAAAGAATACTGGAATGTAAATCTGTCGAAAAAAGAAATAATTCTCATTTCTAAGGTTGAGATGGATCACTTTTCCATCTTATGAACATAAATGATCTAATATTCTTCACTAGAATTTATTTTATTACATGTGATAAGTGCTCACAAATAAGTCATGATACAGTTTCAGAAAATAATGAAAAAACATGAATCATGAGAAACAAACTCGCAATCAGTTAATGAAAAAGTAAGAAACGAAAACTAAATCATGATTAAATTACACAGTAGAAAAAAATGCCACAATAAGAGAGCCTGTTACAAGACAGTGCTGCCTGATATACAATCTCACAATCTGTGTTGTTTATTACAGCTGTAAGCATGTCCTAGGTTGCAGTTTCTGAGTTTGTTGACACATGCATTGGTTCCATCTTCAACCCACTGTTGAAACCTTGAATGCCACATCTGTACAATTTTTTTTCACCTTTTTCTCAAAGTGTTCTATGCATTGTAATTTGTCACATTCCAAAAGCAATATTAGTTATTGCCTATAAGCTTAAAATGAGTTGAAAATGTCTCACTTTCAAGCATAACTCAATTCAACTCAGTGAGCTGTGCTCTCCTTTCTGCAGCCTTTTTTCTGATAAATATGCCCCACCTTAAAGCAGCTTTGAGCTTAAGCCACCCAACAACAGCTTTCCCTGAAGGCTTACCCTGATCCTCACCAAATGAATGATACATCTGAGGCTCATACTGAAGGCTATAGGTGTAACAACCCTCATTAGAATGACCAAGATTGGCTGACATGTTCACTCCTGCATTAATTGTCTTAAGTAACCTCTGCATATCATCACCCTCCAACATCTCTGAACTCCTAAGACGGAGTTCTTCGGCGACAATGTCTTCCAACCCTTGGCCATTTCTTGGCCGGGACCAATCTCCAGCGAAATAAGCACCACCATTTTCATGATTTTCACCTGACATGTAGTTCATGCTGCCAGACAATGCTAATTGAGAGTCAGTTAAAGATGTTCCTACCATCTGACTGTCAGATCTCCCAAATTGATAGTCAGTCAAACCAGGACCGGATGAGTAGTTATTTGTTATTTGCAAGTGTTGATTTGGTTCAGAGGAGACATATGACACCTTGTTCTTTGCAGAGGAATACTGTTGCTCTGGGAAACTGTTATGGTGCATTATCTGAGTGGCTACAGCTCTTGATCCCTTTTTCGAAGTAGTAAGCGAATTTAAAACTTTTCCATCATATTCCACAACTTGGTCCCAATTTTCATATGCTTTCTTCACCAAGGAATCCACAGACATCTGTAAATCAAATTCTCAATAAATGAAGCTACTGTAGTAACAAGTCAGGTAAACACACATGTGAATCACATTCTAGGAATTCTGTTTTCAATACACAGAAAATTAACCTTCTGATTTGGAGTAAGTGATTCCAAAGGGAAGAATTGGCCATCAGCAATGAGACCTCTCAGCTCGTATATATTATTAAACACAATGCCAGCGCTGTTGGTTTCATCAGTGTAGTAAACGAAAAGCTTACCACCCAAGACACATGTCTTCGCATGCTCCACAGTACTCTCCCACATTCTATTGGACATTCCACTACCAAGTATCTGTAACAAAGATGGAAAACAATGAAGTTTACAGAAATGAATACTTGGAAAATTTGGATTAGAGAAGAATCATGTGGATGCTTATGAAATAAGTATATTGAGTTCTTACACTTCGTAATTTCTGTGGCTCGCGAACAAGAAGGCGTAGAAAATCTTCTACAGTTACGATTTTGGCTTGGATCAACTTTTTGTGAAGGGCCCCATCCTTTGCTATGCGATCCAATCTCCAAACTTCATCCTGCAAAGCAGGTGGATAATGTTTCTTGTACACTGCAAGTTACAGAAAACAATTTCTTTAGTTGCTAAACTAACAAACTGTACATAGAGACAAATTTTCTATGTTCAGCATGTATTTAGCTGGATACAGAGTTTTGAAATCCATGAACATGTTATCTGCTATATGGTATCCACTAAAAACTTTTCCATAATTTCTCTCCATGTAAAAAGTCATTCTAAAAATGAAATGTATCCTAGACAATTTTCTGTTAGTTTATATCTATTCTTATAATCTGGCTAATACATAGAAGAATTGAATAATCATAAGCAAAGAATATGAAGCATTAGAAAACTAACATTCTCCTCTGTGATCTTTAACAGCAAAGGCTTCAGTCTTTCCCTCGCGAATGCGAATCTCCTCACAATAACCAGGAGCCACCTTAACACCAAGCCGGAATTTTCTGCTTCTTATCCAGCTAGAATTGTCAGTGAAAGTAAGATCACCTAAGGTTCCTACCCCTTCCTTTAGACTAACCTGCAAATCTCCAGTTAGAAGTGGCCTTTTCCCCTCACGTTCCTTTACTTCATGGCTTTCAAAGTGCTCCTTTGACCAATCATCATCCACTTCCTCATTAAAGTCACCTTCAAGTACCACCACATTCAATTTAGCAACAGATTGTGGTCCAACAGGAACGACACTGCCTGTGTTTGGATCCATTAACACAACATGGATTGCTGATCCTTGCTCTCCCTCAACCTTTCCCCCAGTGAACAAATGAGGTGGCATTCTTGTTCGGAATTGAAGCTGCAGATTCTTTGCCACTGGCCCTTCTAATCTTGGCGGCAGAGATCTGACAGTCAGAATGTAATTCATCAAATAATGGGTAAGGTATGATAATTATTATTCAAAAAAAATTTCAGTAGGATCTTCATATATTTTATACAAGTTTTCACCCACGAATTTTCATCACATTGCTTAGGACTGCACATGCTCAATCCTCACATCCTTTAAATTGATTATCAATCGTCAGCTATCAGCATCGTGCTAAACACACATTTATAACTAAAAATGAAGACTTTCCAAATTCCAATTTGACAGGGAAACACACCTTTCAGCCAATTTATCATGGCCCAATTTTGCCAAAGCACGCTCCACTTCTTCACTGACCTATAAGTTCATGGAATTTGAAGGATTAACAGATTAACCTTATAATACATTTCTATATCTTGATTAATAGGATCTTTATTGATTCGCTAAGTATACCTTACTTCTAAATGAAAGTAGTAACAAACATAATATTGAACTATCAAGCTCTAACAAAACCCTTAAATAAGGTTGTAAATAAACATTTTACGTTTGGGTTCTCAATAAGAGCATCGCTCATTTCATTTTACTTCCATGTTGCAGTATTTAATATAACGAAAGCAAAAATAGCTCACAATTTTTCTCAGAAGAGGTTCCAAAGATGAGCAAAGTCTCTGCAGACTGTCTACCTTTAATGCTTCCACAATCACACTGAACACGTTTCGAGTATTAATTCGGTGTGAGCGTCACTAACGAACAAAAGAACTACTAACTAACATAAGCAAATTTAAATAAAAACTCTTTGACTAGTTATTATCAGAGAAAATATTTGTAAATTGAATTGAAATACCTGGCTAAACCGGGCAGTTTTGGTTTTTTTGCCTGTGTAAGATGGTGTTGTGCATCGTCACCCTCCTCAACTAGCTCATACCCTCTTTTCTCCACTCTATTGTTCTTGGAACTTTCCATTTCTAGAAACTTATCCAATCCCAATGATATCTCTAAACACTATCTAAATTTAGAAACTTGGTCTTGTTTTAGGGATCCGTAGGACAGGTTGAGCCAGGAACCTTCCGAGCAAAAGCACAAGAGTGGAGAGCAAAAATCCTGGAACCAAAACAAAAACTAAAACTTGGGTTCACAAACACATAGGAAGAAGAAGTTGATTTTTTTGTTTGACATCTGAGGATCTAAGATTACGACAAAGAAATTGTGGACACTGTAGCATAGATCTAAATAACTTTACAAATAATTTATGGTGAATAAAAAATATGAAAGGTTCCTTGCATTTGAATATACAATTGATATTATTGATGATCACAGCTGGATTGGATGTGTGCATGAACATTGGAAAATGAAATTGAAACCGCGTTTTTTGTGTCTCATTTGTCTTTGACTTTGCATTGGTGGGGTGTCGGTGATAAGACAGAATCAGCCCTGCTTATGTGTCTCAATTACATTTGTCTTTCTACTAGTGTTCTGGTACTAGGAAAATGTGAGTGTTATAAGGTACTTATTGATGAGAAGAGAAAAGGTCAAGGTTTTGGATCATAAAGTTTACATAAACGTTTTGGAGCATTTCTTCCCTACTCGATTCCCTTATCTATTATTTATTCCTCATAAAAGAACGTATATTGTGGGAGTGATTTATTTCAACTATCCAATATCTTAAAGTAGTTTTGTTCAACATGAGTCATTGAATATAAACATCAAGATGAAATAAACCTTCAAAACGAAGGAAAATTGTTTCTGACCACGTAAAAGTGTAATTTATATATGAATATATTCAAAAAATAAGAGTTTGACTCATGATAAGTAGGTAATACGGTCGAGGGTTTTAAAAGCAAGCAAACCTTTTTTTTTTTTTTAATTAGGAAAAAATGTATGATGTTAATAATTTTTTCAAGGTTTAAAATTATGATTATAGAAATTTATTACTATATTATTTTGTTTTTATTTTTTTTCGCTTTGTTTATATATTAGTTTTTCGTTTAATTTTTGCATTTTAAGAAATTAAAATATTTATTAATTTAGTTTTCAAGTTATCATGGCAAACACATTTTTAAACCTAAAAAATAAACAAAATTATGTATAATTAAAAAATAAAGTTCAAAATTACAAGATAAAAAAAAGTTAGAGGAACTAAAATTATAACAAAATGATTATAAATTGTTCTCTAACCTTTTGTTTTGTTATGAAAATTAAAATATGAATTATAGAGATGAACCTTTACCTCTGATTTTAATAATTTAAAATCGATTTTTTTATTGTTGATTATTTTTATTTTAAGAAATTTTCAAAATAATTTTAGTTTTAACTATTTAAATAGCTCAAAAGTTGAAATATATTGATGCAAACAAAATTACTTTATGAAAAAAAAAACATGAAAACACTATAATTTCTATGCCCTAAGGAAAAAGCAAGGTGGTTTTTAGAAAATCCTGAGGAAAAAAAAGTCTTTATTGTAGCATTTCCTTTTCCTGCTATAAATTTGATGCCGACACCCTCTGCTTGATGACGATGAAACATAAACATATTAAATGATGTTTATGTGTGCTTCACCTGCTAAGAATCTTTTTAAGTTTTGCCATGTGCCCCTTCATGATTCTGGGGAATCCCGAGTGATTATCAGTGATCATCCATGTGTAATAATTTTAGATAGATAAACTCAGATTAGGGTTCCGCATGATATTAGAACAAAGCCAACTATTAATATGCTGAACATTATAATAAACCTGGAGACTAAGGTGGGAAATCACATCAAATCATGTATTATGAGAGCCTAATTTGTTATTGTTTTATCATAATTAATTATTTCATTATATTATTAGGTGAGGTAAGATTTTATAATAATCCACACGTAAAGACTTATTTATTCATTACTCATCTGGTCCTTCTTCGTCTTTAAAGAAATAAATTGCTTGCTTTGTGTTTATGGAAATGAATATTGAAAAATAGTGTGAATGAAAGCATGGAGAAAGAGAAGAGAAGTGAAGAAAGGAAGAAGAAGATCGGGGTGCATCCCTTGACAGAACTATGAAATCTTAATTTCCATTCTCGTTTTCGTTTCTGTACAGTAATCTCCACCTTTGCCTCTTCAATGTCCTTCTTTTCTTACTCTATATATGTTGTTTGAGTGATCATCACGGATCAAACACATTTCAACGTTCAAATTAATAATCATTCAACGTTCAAATTAATAAAAGAATAATAAAAATAAAAGAAAATAGTATGGATTGAATTTAGAGTGCTGATATTTTGACAACCGGTTTTAAACATCCGTTCGACAACTGAATAAAAAATATTAAATGCACAGTGTTATCGAATAAAAAAATATTAAAGGCGAAGAGTTGTGGCAGGTAGCGTCGCTCGAGCGATGTAAATTTCGCTTGAGCGACGAACTTTAGATAGCGGTTAATAACAATCGCTTTTAAAAAGACATATAATATAGCGGTTTGTGAGTGAACCGCTCACTAAAGTATGTTGTGTTAGCGGTTCAGAATTAACCGCTATCTAATGTCATACTTTTAAATAGCGGTTAGGAGTGAACCGCTATCTAAAGTCATATTCTTTTTCATTCTTCCCTCCTACTTTCTTCAACCTCGCGCTCTTTCTGACTGTGTTTTTTTGCCGCTCTCATTCTCGCTCTCTGCGCTCTCATTCTCGCTCTCTGCGCTCTCATTCTCGCTGTCTGCATCTTCTATTAAGCTTAAGGTACGTTCTTTGTATTTTCAATCTTTCTGATTCTCTTGCTCACATTGAAGCATATTACATTGTAATATATTTGTGTGTCGCGAAGTTCACGTTCCAGTCTCCATTCGCCATTGTTGTTGTAGGCCGCGCTTATTGAGAGTTAGTGCATTATATATTTTTAGGGTTTAGAGTTTGTCTACATTGTGATCTAAAATTGTGTTTTTTGGGTAGATAAATGATTGAACATTTACATTGACTATTTTCGTGTCCAAGTTCCGAACTTATATAACTTGCTATTATATTGTTGGCAATGGTAGGAATTGTATCCTTCATCATTTATCTAGCATGGGAGATATAAATGAAAACAGAGATGTAGCTGTCAATGAAGGCATTTTGGCCGTGTATGATGACATAGGTAGTGATGCGGATGTACAACAATGTGATGGTCCTCTCAAAGGTGTAGACCAAGAAATGATAGGTGTACATGATAAAATACCCAGTAATGCGAGATGCCACAAGTTTACATGAAGAAGAAGTGTTGGTTGGCCATGATGAAGGATCTCCGATGCGAGATGTGAGGACTACAACAGAATATGACGGTTCGTTCCATGTGTAGGAATGTCTTTTGAAACTGCAGATGCGGTTAAATCATTTTATCGACAATATGCCATACAAAAAGGATTTGGCATCAAAACAAGGAGTTCAAAGAAGGGGCCCGATAACCAATTGCGGTACTTCATGTTGGTGTGTGCAAGGGCTGGGAAGTATGTTTCGCTACACCTACTGAAATTAGGACCCAACCCACCAAAACAAATTCATGTCCTGCACGGATAACGAGTTGGATTAAAGGAAGGACTATGGTATATTATGTCGATAAATGATGAACATTCACATTCTCTTAGCCCAAAGAAATCCAGAATGTTTTGAAGCAATAGGAACATTAGTTTGCATGTGAAGAGGACTCTAGACATAAATGATGATGCAGGCGTGAGGATCAATAAAAGCTTTCGGTCGGTTGTTAGTAGTGCAGGAGGTTATGAAAACCTCCAATTTGTGGAACGAGATGTACGCAACTATGTCAATAAACAAAGACGTGCACTAGGAAAAGAAGGTGACGGGAAAACTCTATTGAATTATTTTTCACAAATGAGGGACTTAAACAAGGATTTCTATTTTGATATAGACTTGGATGATGATAATCGGGTCAAAAATGTTTTACGGGCTGACGCTAGAAGTAGGGCGGCTTGTGAATACTTTGGCGATGTTGTTTCATTTGATACAACATACTTGACCAATAAATATGACATGTCGTTTGCGCCATTTGTGGGTGTAAATCATCATGGACACTCCATATTGTTAGGGTGTGGGTTGTTATCAAGTGAAGACACCACTTCTTTTATTTGGTTATTTGAATCATGGTTACGTTGCATGTCATTGAAGGCTCCTACGGGTATTATCACTGACCAGTGCAAGGCAATGCAAAATGCCATTCAGATAGTTTTTCCTGAAGCCCGTCATAGGTGGTGTCTATGGCATATAATGAAAAAAATTCCAGAAAAGTTGAAAGGTTATACAGAATATAAAAATATGAAGTATGCTATGAAGGAGGTTGTTTATGAGTCTTCCACCATATCTGAATTCACATCCAAATGGGCTAATTTCATATCAGATTTTGGCTTACAAGACAATGAGTGGTTGAATAGCCTTTTCCAAGAGAAACAGAGATGGGTTCCATGCTTTTTGAAAAACCAATTTTGGGCTGGGATGTCAACTACACAACGAAGTGAAAGTATGAATGCATTTTTTGATGGATATATCAACTCGATGACATCCCTCCAACAATTTGTCAAGCAGTATGAAAATGCCTTACAAGACAAGGCTGAGAAGGAATATGAAGCTGATTTTGCATCCATGCATACAATTATTAATTGTGGATCACAGTCTTTGATAGAGAGGCAATTTCAGTCGGAGTACACACATGCAAAATTTGCAGAGGTTCAAGCAGAATTTAGAGGAAAAATTAACTGCAGTGTTGTGCATGTGTCTTGCCTTGGATCTGCTTGGTTTTATGACGTTATGGAGGAACGTATTTGCGGTGAAGATTCTAAAGAACACCTGTACAGGGTAAGTTTCACCCGTGATGACCAAAATGTCAGTTGCACGTGCTTGCTATTTGAATTCAAAGGTATTCTTTGCCGACATTGTTTGGTCATCATTCCTCAACAAAGGGTTAAAAAGATTCCCTGCAAATACATTTTAAGTAGATAGAGTAAAAATGTGAGAAGGAAGCATACTTATATGAAAACCACCTACAATGTAAAGGAGAGGCAACCGCAGATTGTACGATACGATGACTTGTGCAAAAGATTTTATGAGATTGTTGAAGTTGCATCAGAGTCAATTGAGCAGACGGACATGTTGCATGAAATGATGAGTAAATTTGCTCCAACACATACTGCTGAACGTTCTCAAACTGAAATAGATACCAATATCTGCGAAAGTAATACTCCTACAGATTCACAAAGCTTATATGTTGACAATGTTGCCATTGACATTCGTAGCCCGTGCATGTTAAAAGGAAAGGAAGACCACGTTCACTCCGAAAGGTGTCAACAAGTGAAAAAATGGCAACGCGAAGGTTACAAAATAAAGGCCAGCACACGTGCACCACAAATATTGTAAGTATTATATCCACAACTGTCATGTTATTTTGTATTGGATGATTTCATAAGTTTATTAATATCTTATCTTCGCCATTACAGGGGAACACTGAAGGAACTTCGCCCGAGTTATTAAACTCAACCCTTCACATAGAAACTCATGTTGATTATCGGTCATCTGGATTGGTGTGTGTCAAAAATGAAATTTATTTCATGTTATAGTGATTGTTGAATTGAATTTGCTTTATTTAAAGTGTGATATGCAATTCATTTGAATTTATTTGTGGGCTTGATATACTGTTTATGCAGTATATGTTATGTAAAATGGCAGTAAAGTCATATGTCAAAACTCATGTAATTGTTGCCCTTTGCAGCCATCAACAATGGGTACCTCTGGTTTTGTGTCGTTGTTGACATCACTTGATAGTAATGTTGACGGCACACAATTGTCTTCCTCAACTAAATGGTTTGGAAACATTGTTTTTTTAATGAAATACTTTGTCAACAATGAATATTACATTAGTTTAGAATTGCATTACGTTGATGTATACTAATGATTTCTTCTTCAACTTGCAAGACATAAGTGTTAATATCTACAACATAGAATTTTGCAGTGTTATTTAGACCACAACTAACTTAGTGACGTTTCCATGACATTCAACTGCACATGTTGATTGACGAGTGTTTTTTTTTATTCAATGTCTTGTTGGCTGGATAATGTCATCAGTAGTGTAGACTATACATTATGATTTTGTTAGAGTATATACGATAGGACATAGACGTGCAATAGCAGTGTAGACTATACATTCTGATTTTGTTAGAGTATATATGATAGGACATAGACGTGCAACAGTAGTGTAGACTATATATTTTGATCCTGTAAGAGTTGTGGATGTAAATATAACAATGTAACAGCAATTTTAATTTCTTCAATGCATTTATAAGCAGTGGATGTAAATATAACAATGTAACAACAATTTTAATTTCTTCAATGCATTTATAAGCAGTTGATGGTCCATACATTTACGTAACAATCATCAGTTCTATATTAAAATAATATTAAAATACTACCTTCAAAAAAAGCAAACCTAATTGTAGACATTTCAGTATATAACAAACCAATAATATTTAAATAGTTCTGGCATTTCCAAATTTAAATAATTTTTTTTTTAGATTGGGACTTTAGATAGCAGTTCCCAGAACCGCTATCTAAACACACTAAAGAGAGCGATTTCAATCGCTTGAGCGAT